TCTCACAAGAGGCAATGCCTTCTTCGGGACAGACCTCAGAGGCTCCCCCTATGCCCGTTTAGACCTACCCACAGCCAAAACAGCCAAACCCGGAGAATCACAGTCAGTTTTCCTGAACGAACAGGGTAGTCTCTGCCCTCTGGTAGCCCTTTGTAACATGGCCATGGTTACACCAGCATCAGCCTCAGACCCACTATTCTCATGGAGGGACTCCTCAGGTCTTCCCCGTCCCATGGTCAAATCCCATGCCATGGAGCACATCAACAGCATCCTATCAGTGTGGGGATGGGGGAACCACTTTGGCCACTCCTTTCATATCAGTGGAGCCTCCTTCTTCCTTGCCAAGAAAGTAAACCCAGAAATCATTCGCATTGCCGGATGGTGGAAATCACTAGCCTATCAAGTATATATACGAGCCTTTGAGCAAATTGCATCCCAGCACCTAGCTAATGCTGTATCCGAAACCGAGGCCTCCACTCTCAGGGTTGGGCATTTGGCAGGCACACAGCTGCAGGGTTCCGGCCTATGGGTGAGCGGCTCCGCCTGCCTTGCCTCTGCCTGAGCTAACTGCTCGGCCCAGCCCAACAACTGACAGGACAGATCCTAGCGAAATGCATGAGACGAGGATGGATAGTGTAGATGCCGGTTACCTCTGGTAGCAAACTGTCCATCTGAGCAACAAGCCTGAAGCACTGCCACCCTGCCTTTCTGCATCAGACGAACACCCCCCAACAGACCGTCAGCTGCTCCCACTCCAGCTCCTCGCCCAATTGTCATTCCTTTCACCCACCCTCCACGCCCTCTTCTTCACACTATAGCCACAGCCATAGATTAGCCCAGCCACCGTTCTAATCTTAGCCCAATAATTACATACTGTTCGAAATGCTACTGCTATGCCTACGCAGTCCTGTCAGAGCGAGCAGGTGACCCACCCTCCCAAGCAGCTTCCGCCTGCCTCACCTCTGCCGAGCTAACGCTTGGCCCAGCCCAACCACTGACAGGACAGATCCTAGTGAAATGCATGAGACAAGGATGGACTACAGAATCATGTAAAAACAAACTGAAAAGCAGCAACCAAGAGAAACAAAAGGGAAAGATGGGTATCTTTCAACAGAACAAGCATACCATGTACCATAGAGTAGCATACATGAAGGATAGAGGCTGTAGATGCAAAGGGGTTCTTGCATTGCAGAGAAGGATTCACAGGAAAGGAATGAGAGGGGTAACTGGAGTTTATTACTGGTGATCTGCATGATTTCCCAGCTACATGGTGAGGCAAAGGATGAGGCAACACAAGTGTGGAATTCTGGATAGATGTATGTCAGGTTGATGTTGACACAGAATTCTGGGATGATGACTAGTGTGTGTTATTGATGGACAGGGGAGCTCTGAAGGTTCAACAGGTGAGGCAGCACACAAGGCTGATGCAATAATTCCAAAGATGACAGACATGGAACTCTGATAGGGGTTGACTTTGGTAACAGCAGAATTTTGGTGTTGGCATCCCTATTTTGGCCTCAGGGAGTATACCACTGCCTACAACAGAAACAAATCTTAGCTGATGCAAAGACTCATTTTTGCTGTGAGATACTAACAAGCTCACCATTCCCCAGTCAAGGAGTGTCAAACAACCTTGCTCATCAGTCCTGTGCATGCTGCCATTCACACTCATCTCAGAGGTACATCAAACTTCATGCATATTTCAGTCTGCCATTGACTTGCAAATGTACAGATTCACAATATTGGATTGTTGATGACATCCATGGAGAGAAGGCTCTTTCAAAAATTGTTAGCAGTGGAAATGTGCTGTGTTCATCATTCAAGGCTGCTGCAAGATTGCTTGTTCCTATAGCATACTTGCTTACCCCTGGCATCTCCAGTATTCCACTCCAGTCTGCCAACATCTTGGTGCACTACAGCCAATGAGCTACCAATCTCTTGGATAACTACAACTTCATGTATGAACAGGTAAGCACTTCAGATTCAGAATGTATTTAATGAATTTTGACTAAGATCCAGGATGGGGCAAGGGAGTTTGGGCACCACGCTCTGATTGAGCTCCTGCTCACCATGCTGTGGGCACAGCCAGGTGAATGATTCACAATACAACTCAACAATAACACATTCACAAGACTCCTCACCTTGTCTGGTGCTGCAATTGTTTCAACACTGAGGGAATACAAAAGTGGTAGATACATGGCTGTTGAGTTCTCAGAGAGAAACATAGGAGTGGATTTTGAAGCCATATGAGGATTTGTTGAAATGGTTCATCAGGAGATTCCTGTGAGATTCTCACTATTACATTTACAACTATCATCACTTGCCATGGCATTGTCTAGTAATGACTGAGTAGCAATACATGATATGATTTCACTCATATCTCTTGTCTGTACAATCTAGTAACAACTGAGTGACAATGCATGATATGATTTTGTTCGCATCCCTCATGTCTGCATAAATCCATGTAGTTACATAGTCTAACAAGCTAATGATATACCATTTCTTGGCCAGATCAAAAGATCTGAAGTGACGACTTGGGCAGAACCCAAATGGGGAAATCACACTGACTTAAGTGTCAACTTGGCTGCCAACTTGGTGATTAGTTTTTGCAGATGTAGCTTGAAAGTGGCAATGGCAGAGTGTTAATAGCATACCATTTCCAGGTCGCGCGCTTTTCCTGCGGAGTTTGAATCTACAGTCGGAGCTTTAATATTCACCCACAAACCCACAACTCAACTGCACTTGAGTTTGCTCCTGTGTTCTTTCCACATTTAACTTTGAGCCGCCCAAGTGGACTGTCTCGGTGTGATCAGGCATAGAATGCGGTGACACCCCAAATCTTTCACTCTTATCACTCCTCTATAGCCTCGTATTTAAACTAGCTTGAAAGTGGCAATGGTAACGAAGTGACGAGTGGAGCATGCAGCCACTGCTCTAATACTTGTACTGTGCAGCTGCAAGTTGCTGCAGAAATCTGCAACCCTTCCACACCTTGGTGCAGTCATATGCAGATGCGCTAACCCCATATATTTTTCTCTCATCTGTCCACTACAGCCTGTGCAACCAAAGTACATTGTTTGCACGAAGTATAATTATTGCTGTCATCCTTGCAAAGGTCTGTTCCCCCTGAATGAGCTATTTGGAGATTGTACAACTTTGTTCAGCAGATTTCACATGTGCAAACAAAAGTATACCTAAGGAGGGAGGAACCCTCCAATTGTGTGAGTGTTTTACTGTAGGCAGTGATGGACCTTGCCAGTTCTGAAGATAAATCCTGTGATGACCTGCTAACAGCAGGCATGTGTTAACTGCTGGGCCACCTGATGACCAATATATAACTTGATACTGAAAGTCTTTGCATGCCATCCATCATGCATCAGAGCCTGTTGGAGTTCTCCAAGGCACTAACTGAATCTTTGGTCAAAGGCATTCTATTCCTCCCTGCAACCTATGTGTGTGACAAGGTCACTGCAGGGTTTATGGTGGTTGGATTGAAACACAATCAATCAATCTCAGCAGTTGTGTGAGGTCAAACTGCAGGTATTTAATCTGTTTCAAAGACTGCCAGAGCAACAACTTCATTTGCACCCCCCAGCTCATACAGTGCGAGATGGATGCACTGTCTATGTTCATTGGCATGTACAATGTGTTTCAAGACATCTTTCATTCTGCCCCTGTTATTGACATAGCTGTTGGCCTGGCCACTGTTTGGGTACTGCTTTTGGCAGTCTGGGCCACTCAAAAGAAATCTAGAATGAAACTAAGGGGGCCAAAGAGCTGTTCAAAAAGCCTGATTGGGGGGTGGCACTCGATGGATGGTCCAAGGAGTACAGTGTGGCATATGAAATTCCTACTTTTTTCAGACAAAAGAGAGTCATTCTCTGGGACCCAAAAGCAGCAGCACATCCTCTCTAGAGATTCATGGGCATACGCTCACCTCCTGGGTGTCAAAGTGAGCATTGCACAGAGAGTAAGTATGATTTCAGTGTTTGTATGCTTCCATAATTTCTTGACCCCAGGATCTCCAGATGGGAAAGGGGCTGCTTTGGGCCCAAGGTGAATCACACCAAAGGTATAGAACTCTCCTTTGGTGCTACACCATGTACCATGCTGAATTACTGCAATTTCCAGGCAGCAAAGATCCATAGCACCTTTGTTTAATTCTAATGTCATTCAAAAGTTATGTCCTACCATCCATAGAACCATGGACAAGGTATGCAAATGCAGCTATGCTTTTCTAAGCCACGTTTTCAGCATGTTCTTCTGACAGCTGAAGGCAGCTTGGGAAGCAAGCATTGATGTGAATGGAGGTGGAAGTGTTGTCCTTGATGTTGAGAAATGGTATGTTATATAGAATGCCAACCATTAAGATGTCTTATACTCTGCCACAGGATGAACTACATGTCATATGTTCATTCCCTATAGCATTCTGCATCAGGAAAATAACACACCAAGGGTCAGCAGGTTTTGTCAGGTTGATGCTTTCTGCATGGGCATGCAGCTCAGTGCCATGTGAGGCACCAGTGTAGTTTTGGATGTGCTTGGTATACATGGGGATGGGATTTTGAGTGAACTCACTCTGGATACCAAGCTGGGTCATGTTCAGAAGGAGGCAGGGGTTGAGCTGACTCCCCCTGCCCAGTTTTGGGATATCCTGTTATGCATCAGAGATGTATCAGATGCCTGATGCTGTTCTTACCTTGCATCCTTGGCAACTCACCATCTAGCTGTCAAGTGTCAAGGTCAGCAAGGACAGTATTTAAGATCAGCTAGGTGGTTGGAATGGTCAGTGAGGGAATGTCTCAAGGTGCATTCAACAGCCATCATGATCTCTGTCTTTGATACAGACTTCCCAATATATCACTGATGTGGTCAGGGATTACACAAATGACAGATATACATGCAGTATTGAATATCAACTTATCACACAGGCAAATACAGCTTCTCTTGCACACAGCCTATCTGGGCAGGAGCATTTATCAGAACATGTCAAAAACCTCATGAAGAAGGTCATGTACCAGCCTTATGGCCAAGGTCAATGTACTAATCTAGACCACTGGCATCACTTTGAAAAACCATGGATTTGCTGGGAGGTTCCAGTTCACTTGAGTAAGGAACCTCTGATCTGTCACTACTGGGGACTGTGAGATTGCTGTTGTCAGACCCAGAGTCACTCAGATTCCCCAAAGGGGAAGCCAGGGATGGAAGTTTGTCAGTAGTGGAGATCTTGAGATCACTATTGCTGGACCTGTCTGTGTCACTCAGATTCCCTGAAGGAGCAGCCTGGGGTTGCAAGAGGTCCTTGAGATCAAAAACACCAATAGAAACAGTGGTATTCTCACTGTTTCTGAAGTGCCTCTGTGAGTGCTCCAGCATCATGGACTCCATTTCCAGCAGCCTCTGTGTGGTCTCCTGCTCCTGTGGATGTACATCAAGACCTTGATCTTTGCACCACTTCCTCCAGAACTCCAGGCCCTTTTGAGAGACCCTGTTCTGTTCTTTGAAGAACTTTAAAGAGTGACTGTAGAGTGTATAACCTAAGCAACTCTAACACATTTGAACAGATGAGATGAAGTCAGCCTTCTGGCAGAGAGCATTCCCCATATTTCCCATTTATTGATAGGGATGAATGGGAGCTGGGAAAGTTCCTCTACACTCATTTTACACAAGTTCAAATTGATGATTTTTTTGAAGTTGCATTGGGTGAGTGGTTTGTCTCTCAGGCATGTGCTGTCTAAACATACTCACAGGTTACTCATGGGTCACTGACCAGTTTTCACTCAGCAAAAGAGCTGTTATCACAGTTGGATGTGATACCAAAGGGACCAACCTGGCACTTCATGAAGATTCAGTACTGAAGGATATATAACAAAGGAGCCAGTGTACCTCTACTGGCATGATGCCTTAGAGGTCATGCAGGATATCTTTGGGAATCCAGTTTTTGTGAAGCATATGGAGTACAATCCTTACCATATTTTTGAAAGAATGGGCCAAGAATATGGAGAATGGACATCTGGTGATGAAGCTTATCAAATCCAGGTATGCTAATGTTACTCTGCTTAGTGGATATGCCATGTATAGTTCACAGGATCAACTGCCCAAGGGCACTACAATCATTCCCATTGTCCTTGCCTCTGACAAGGCACCAGTGATGCAAATGACTGGTGATATCAAAATGCACCCTCTGTTTCTGATGATCACCAACATCAATTCAGAGTTCTGCATGAAAGCAACATCCCACACATGGTCATGCATTGCATATACCCCATCACCAGAATTTATCACCCACTCTGAATTTTGTTCAGTCTTGGAGGCTCATGTTTGGCATCACTGCATAGACATTGTCTGTGCTGGCCTGAAACTTGCTGCCTGAACTGGTACCTTTATGAGCAATCCCAGCAGTGTCACTAGATATTGTTTTACACCACTTGCTGCTTACATTGCCAATCTCCCAGAACAACTGATGATTTCCTGTGTTACAAAGTCCATATCTCCAACTTCCATGGCTGAACAGAGCCAGTTTGGCAATGCAACCCCACATCCTCCTTGTACTGGCATGTCTGCCCTCCAAAAGCTGCATGCTCTGTGCCAAGATACAGACCCCTGGAATCTTTCAAACTTCCTACCCAAGGCTAAGATGCAACATCTCAGTGGTGTCCAGCTCCCATTCTGGCAGGATTGGACATCCTCCAACCCCTGGGTCTTTCTTGTAGGGGAGCTCCTACACTCTGGACATAAATTTTTCTTTGATCATCCATTTAAATGGTGCAGAGAGTTATTGGGCCATGACAAGCTTGACACATGTTACCATACCCAGCACAAATGAGTCAGCACTCACCACTTCAATGGGGTATCACATATCAGCCAAATGACTGGCCATGAACATCAGGATCTCCAATGTACTATTGTCACAACCATAGCTGGCCTTGCAGACCCTTATTTTACCTGTGCTATCTGTGCAATCATCAATTCCTCTACCAAGCCCAATCACCAACATTTACTACCTCATCAATCAATGCCATGGGAGAGTTGCTGGCAGAATTTCATGCCCATAAAGATTCCATATTGGAAATGGTTGTATGGCAAGGCAAGTCAGGGAAAATAGATCACTTCCAAATTCCAAAAATTGAGCTTCTACAGTCCTTCAGCTGTAATATTCAAGATGTCAGTTCCCTCATTCAGTACACTGCTGATGTCAGTGAGCATCTCCTCATAACCCACTGCAAGGACCCCTTCACCTGCACCAATCACCAAAGGACAAGTTTCACAAAACAAATCATGCTACTACTCAACTGTGAGGAATCTATTCACCAATTTGATCTTTATTCTCTGCTGTCCAAGAGGGGCATCAGCCTCACAAATATGCCATGTGTGGAATCCAATGCTCCTCAATATATTGACCTGACACTGGAGTGGGTTCAGTGTGTTTCCCCAGAAGAAGTGAATAGTTTGCATGGCCCAAGGGTATTCCATAACCACTTCTTAAAGGGCATCCTTTCCAAGGATTCAACCACCACATTCCATGTTACCATTCAAACTGATTTTGTGGACAAAACATCAAATTACCTCATTGACACACACAATCTTCCTGACTTTCCAGTTCTTCTCTGGGCTTATATTGATGCTTTCCCTGGAAACCACTCCTGTCTACATGGTTGTTTACTTAAGGGATGGAGAAAGTTTTGGTTGCAACTGCAATCACACCTTTATCCATGCAACCTCCTACCAAGTCAACAAGTCCAAGTTCTTCCACCATCAACAGAGCACCCCCTCAGAAAATGTGATGCCATGCTGGTTCACCATAGGCCTTCATCAGGAATACCAAGCAAGTTTCCTCCACTAAAGCACTCCCACTCTCATTTTATTTTTTAACAGCCATTGTTGCTCAAGTCCACACTGTATTTGCACTCTCATCAAGGGGTTTGGCTCTCCCCACTGGTCTTTCCAATCCATTGTTATATGTCCAGTACTTCACTTTTGCAGCAATGCCTTCTGATCAACCTGATGTTGGGATGTATGCTGTAGAATGTATGTTTGTCAACAACCTAAAAGATGGTACAAGGTCTTGTGTGGGTGCAATCATTTCATTGCTGGATGTCATTCACACAGTGGAGTTGATACCCAAGTATGGGATGGTTGCCAACCATGGGGTTACCTCTGAAACATGCTTAGAACTTTATGACAGATTTTACCTGAACAATTTCACAGATAAAGAATGGTACTACACTCTGTACCGGGACTACCAGTAGATTGTATGGTAGATTACCACTACATGTTTACCAGAAATCTTGGGTTGATAAATTTCACTGGACATACACATGATTTGGCTCTTATGAAGACTGAGTCAAGTGCAAAAACAAGTGATACAGAACTATTGATTGTGATTTTATTTTATTTGTTTTCCCTTGCTATCTGATCCTCCAATCAGCACTCGAGATCTCTTGGTCATAAGCTCTACATAAACCCCATTAATTGCTGTCACCCCAAGCAACTATAAGCGAGAAGTTGCCCACTTTACTGATGTAGTTTGAATACGAGGCTATAGAGGAGTGATGGGAGTGAAACATTTGAGGTGTTACCGCATTCTACGCCCAATTGCACCGAGACAGTGGAACTCACATCCTTCTTGCGACCCGGGACTGAGCAGGTCAAGTGATAACCGACTGATGTTTAAAATTATCCCGCCAGCTACCCAGATCCCTCATCACCATAGAGATCTCGATGCGACCAAAAGCAATAGACTCAATCGAATTATGTGTCGAAGTAGACGCTTACAGGCACAAAAGCATTCTCATCTCCAGTACCCTCCGTTCACCTCCCATTCATTCCTCCTGATCACAATGGTCCTGTGAGCGAAAGAGGCGCTAAAGACAGTCCTAAGACCACTGAAAATTGAATGTCAAGTATTTTAATCCATCGTAGTAGATGTGACCCTACTCGGAAAACGCTGGCCGCCGCGGTACTCTACGCAGGAGTATCATTATTCCTACAATTGACTTAGTTCGGTCTTGATCGGTATACTCTGCCATGTGTGGATTCCAATTGAACTTTCGTATAGAATACGTATTATAATATTCTGCTGAGTATTAACTAACCCTGTAAGTGACATGATTCCACCAACGAGAAGGGGAATGGATACACGTACGACCATCGATGAAAACATGCAATCTAGAGTACCAATCACGAGACAACCGGTCGGTAGTGCTCCAACGGATGCCCGTATAACTCAATCATGTGAGTCCGATGCGCCGCTGCATCTGCCCAAATCCTCTCCACCTTCGGATCCTTCGCGACCCACTGCTGCTGGTCCATGAAGATGGGGTAGAAGCGCTTGCGAGGGTGGGTAAGGGGTTGAGCAGGGGGAAGATGTGTCGAAGTGGAAGGGGTTGAGGTCACGACTGCCGATGTGGGTGACTGCGCTGGTGAGGCATTATCTAAATTCGACGCTTGCAGCCCGTTTGATTGTCGGGGCGTCGATGGTGGTTCAGCGGCGTCTGTCCGGGTGCTAGGAGTGCGAGGAGAAGGAAACGCACGGGGGTCTCTTGGGCTGGAGGGTCGTGACCGGGTAAGCGCTGGACCCGTGAGTGCTGTCCGAAACGCGGCTGGGCTGGCATCTTCATGGGTGACGGACGATAATGTCATTCCGCACCTCAGGCTGGGCTTGGTGGGAGATCCGATTCTGCGCTTTTTCGTCGGTGTTTCAGGAACATCCGCATGTTCATCTGGGTCGAGCAAGGACTGGGAAAACGCGACAGTTCGTTTCTGTGACGTGGCCCTCGACATCATCAACTCCCGTTCCCGTTCCTTGCCTTTCATAGCGGATTTGATGGGTGATTTGAATTTCTGCGGCGAAAAACCTGGCAACTTAAACGGTGCGGTTGAGGGAAACCTAGAAGAAGAGGCAGTGGCTGGAACGGTGGACTGAGAAGCCTGGATTTTAGGAAGTGCAGATCGAACCAGGTCTGCCACAGTTCCACAGTGCTCGTCTAGACCTTTCAAGATGTTCTTAAACTTGACCGGTTTAAAATTGTAGTCCGCACAGAACGTCTTTTCTGCGAGCGTGTTCTCCAAGGTTTTTTTAGCGACCATCACGTTTCGGTGGGGAATGACTAAGACTGACCCCCATCAAATTATACACCCAGAAGAATATGGCACTCGTCATCATATGTAAACCGTATCGTCTCTTCATCATCTCTACTTGTGGCAGCATGTCCTCAGCTTGTTCCATCCACCGAACAGCTTCTTTTGGAGGATATAGCCCATGACACGCGACCAGACTCTGGTATGTGGGATTTCCCCCAGATCCGTGCTGCCCATCTTTGTCTTCATCCAGCTGGAGAGCTGTACATACGGTTTTGAGCATATCTTCAAAGACACGGGGCTTGACACATGCGGCTGTCGCCGCGCTCTGGAGGGAGACCTCGTTTGCATTCAATCTACGTAATTCCTAGCTTCAACCAGTCAGTTCTGAGGAAAAGAATCGTGGCACACACTGCTCGGATGCCAGATAAGCAGCAACTGCGGGTAGCGCAGCTGCATTGGCTACGAAACCTGTTCCGCGACCCGTCTTTACAGATGCGAGGTTGAGAATGGATTTTGCATGTTCGAGCGTCTCCCGGGTCGTACAAAGCGACCTGAGTTGGCGGTGATAGATAACTGTTCCCATGAGCTCTGACTTCGCCTATTAGCAGAACGTCGTTGCGACTTGACCCGTGTCGAGTCACGTGCACACGTCTTCCTGAGCAGCACCTTGACAGCCACTGATGTCATTGATCACGACTGCCACGATTTGTGTGGAATTGCAAGTCTTCATTGCAAAATCCAGAAATAATGATCCTTCCGGTAACGGTTCTGGTGCCACCAAATATCAACAAAAATGAAGTTCATCCCTACAGACTACCGCAAATCCCCCAGTTCGCGATAACTGAAGAACATCATCTTCATACTTCAAACTACCCTACAGCGTACGCAGTCATTTCAAACACGTCCCTTCTTCCGTTACACCGACGCTTCAGGCCTCCAGCAACTTTTTCCCGAGGGCACCCTTCAGCACATCCTCATCATCATCCGCGAACTTCTTAATGCCCTCGTACAACTTACCAAATGTCGTCTGAACAAAATGTGAGAGATTACCCGAGATTATCAAACTAATCCAAGACGATACGCCTGTAGATGGGATTTTCCTTGAAAATCGCGAGCGAACCAGCATACACCGTCCCGATCTTGTGGAAGGTGCTCCGCCCGGTTTTATTTGCTATCATCCAGCGCCGAGCAGTCTGTGCCTCCGAAGTCACATCTAGGATCCAGCAATTATCTGGATTCGGAGTTTTGGCAGAGTATATCCAACCTAAGAACACATACGTCCCACTCGCTGGCCAAGCAGTTTGTGCTGAGAAGACAGCCCGATTCCACCCTGGAATTCCACGAGCAAATCGGAGTTTGCTTCTGAGATCCTCCCGCTCCACGATGTGGAAACAGTGTAAAAGGGACGGTGCGTGGAGAGCTTGGCCAATTTGCATGTGAGTGTTCGCCACCTCCTGCTGTGGCACCGTGTCCGAAGTAGCAAGGCCCTCCTTGAATAACTCCAAGATCGGCTGGGGGTCAAACCCCTTCGCCACCAATGTCCAGGCGCATGCGATCATTACGTTCACCTCTCCGCCCCCATCTCCAATACTGCCACTGACTCCAGTCAAGCGTCCCACCACTCTTGCCGTCATATGTAATCCATCCTTAGCCACCTCAATTTTTCCCCAGTTGCGGTGATCCAAAATTTCTATATGGACCTCGCATCCTGAAGCGTGGATGATGCGGGGCATCCAGTTTGTGCCCATGGGCGCATCAGATCTCATAGCATCATAGAGCAATGGCCACACTCTGCCCGATGTTACTATCTTCACCATCGTTCGTTCCCACATTTTCTCGAGTTGTGCATCCTGATTGGAAGCTTCCAAATGACCTGAAGGCTTTTGATCTACCCCAGATGCGGAATTCGACGTCTGCGGAATTCCACTGGTAGATGTGACTGTATCAAGTGTGCTCTCGCCTGCAGCGGCAGGCTTTCCATCAGCAGCAGTATCGAGCTTGTTGAGTGTAGAAACCCTGTCCTCATCTTTCAACAGCCCATATATTCCGAGCATGCGATCAACGGGGAACTTGCAGTTCTTCCAGGAGGTTATATTAATGGCGGTGAGCAGTTCGAGGTGTCCATCTCGTTGCAATGTGCGCTTCGCATCCCAGCTGACACTTTGGGCTTCCCAATCCGCTGCTGCGCCCACTCTCTCGAATACGAGTTCGTTTTCGGGATAGACGAAACTGTAGTCTTTCCCTCCTTCGGGCTTTTTTAGCCATCGGTTTCTGAGTATCTTGTAATACCAACCCAGAATGCGACCCAGCTTGTCGATGCAGAGTTCCTGACCATCTAAGAGGACGTGCTTTTTGGGTAGCAGTAGCTCTTGGTATGTCCACACTCGAGAGAACCATCCGTCATTGACAACAGCCTCCAACATTGCGATGTTATCCCAGATCGATCGTGCATTGTCCTGCACTGAAGCCCCAGTGTCCGCAATTCTAGACAAGATATCCATAACGCAAGCGTACGCCGTGTGGAATTTCTCATAATTCTCTGGGATGACGAGACAAGCTGAGGCCTCCTGGTAATATTGACTCATTTTCGGAATCTCCAGCGCTTTCTCAGTTTCCGCATGGTTATCCCGGGCTTGGTTGATGCATATGATGTCCATCCACAACCACTTGGTCTTTGTCCTCCTGCAGTAGTCGAGGACGTACTCCCATTTCTTTTTGTCAGAGATGGGGATACCCCAATAGATTCCAGGCAGAACCATCTTCTCCGTGATCTCTCCCCACACCTGTGATACCACAACGTAGGGGGGAACCATGCCCTGAGTCTCCTTGAGGTACGTTTGTCGGTCTTTTATGATCATGTTTTCGCAGTCGTAGAGCCGCAATGGACCATCTTCTGAACTACAAACGTTGTGCGACGAAATTAGCGGGGGAAATTTGGGTTCATTGTTCGGAAACCTACTTATCAGCATCGATTCGCTCCCCCACCTTTCCATCGATTTGTATCTTACTCGCAATTTGTTGAACTTCTACCTCCGATTCATCCATTGCCTCCATAGATTGTCGATGATTTGGCCAGATCTGGAGTATGGGAATCAGCGTGCCATCCCCATACTCCCACTGGAAAGTGCTTTGATTAGACACATCTTCCTTAAAGGTCGGCCCTGTTCTCCAAGAGTATGGAGCCAGTATGATGTCCTGATGGTCAATTGTTGGGGAGGGTTGCAATCGGCGAAAAGGAAAGCAACAGAGCCGTTGAAATTGGTCCATCTAGTACTTTGACTTCGCTTTCGAAAATGAGGGACTGAAAGCAGGGTAGTAGGCGCTCATGAATCATCCCGGATAAAGAGTAACTACTCAAGCAAGGCAATTCCTATTTCCGTGTTTTCCGGTAGATATAGATCGGTGTCAGTTTCAATTGACGCCCATCACTATTACTGATAGCACCTCGCATGGCGCACACCCGCCACAGTTCACACTGACACCAAGTTATCCAGATGCATAGAACGGAACACAGGAAGTCGTTGGAGCATATAACCAAAGAAGCGATGCCATGTCGAGTGTCAGCCGTACCCAGCGATTAATACGGACTTAGTAACTTGCTTGCTAGCTATGTATCTTCACCGTGACTGTACTGTCCGTTCTGTCTTCATCTAGCTGGGAGCCATACGTACGGTCTTGACCACGTCTTCAGAGACGTGGGACCTGACACATGCAACTGTCGCTGCGCTCTGGAAGGGAGACCTTATATACATTCAATCCACGCTATTTTCAGCTTCAACCAGCTGGTTTTGCAGAAAAGAAACGTGGCGCACGCTGTTCAGACACCGGAGAGGCAGCAACCGCAGCTGCGTTGGCTATGAAGCCTGTTCGGCGACCTGTTCTGACGGATGCGAGGCTGATAATGGATTTTGCACGTTCAAGTGTCTCCTGGAACGTACAGAACGATCTGATTTGGCGGTGATTAGTAGATAACTGTCGCCATGGCCCATGGTCTGGCATGACCGCTGCCCTCGCCTAGCAGAAATCCAAGTCACACGAGTCACGTGTGCGACTCGCCTTCCCTTCTTCGTACCACTGAAAATCGTATAACGTCCTACAGAAATGATTGATGAGATCTTGAGATGCCGACCAGTAGAAATCCACCAACTTTTCAAGTATATTCCCCCAATGATATTCAAGTCGCCGCCTCTAGCACTTTCTCGGTACAAACTTGGTAACTTGTTTGCTGGCTACTCTTGATACACATAGCAACTACCCTCCGTGTACTTTAAGTTATAACCTGTAGGATTGGAAATCTATGCCGGATGTTCATCACTCCCAATCACCTAACTTTTCGAGCTCGGGAACTCGAGCGGAAACACGGGATACACTGTAACTTGACTCTCATGTTTGAGTTTGTCTGGGCTATTGCGTGTGCTGAGGCAGGCGTGACACGGGCCTCGCCCTCTGTTGTTCGTGTACATGTAGTGTGAGGGAATATAATATTTTTTTGTTCTGGACTGGTACAAGAAACATACCGGAAAGGATTGGGACGATCCGAGTGTTCTTTCCGTAAAGGTATTCGATGCTCAATTGCTACCAGCAGCACGATCTTGGTGAGCTGTGACTCGCATTTCGTCTGGATTTACACTGATCTGGCAATACGTCGGAATCGTTTGGCTGCTGCAGCACAGCAGATCCCATCGAGAGGTTTCTTATCTGAATAACGAATCAAGATTCAGGTGGGATCACTTGCAGGATCAGATGGTGTTTGTCAAGTTGCGCGAGCACATTAAAAAGTTCGCGGATGATGGAGACGCGTTGAAGGATGTTCTTAGGGAAACATTGTTGGAAGTGTGAGGCGAGTGTAGGTTGGAAGAAGTAGGTGCGTTGAAACGACCTCGTTCGTTGTAGGATATGTAGTGTGCGCAGTTGAAATGTTGTCGATGGAATGCGGCGACCTGAATGCCCTCCCATAGGCAATCGTCCCTTCGAGTCTTTATTGAGAGAAAGGCAAGCACTGACCTCAGTAGAGCCATGACCCGGGATGACACTCATAAGTCGGTCGATCTGGCGCGATCAACACATCACGCATATGCTCACCAAGGCAATCCACGATGGTATTGGCTTGCTGATAGAGACTGCCTCCTTTCGCCTTGGCATACCTTGAGCACTGCATCTACTCAGCCCTCGCCTCGACCCAGATGAATATACAGAGATACCTGATGAAAACACCGACAATAAAGCACGGAATCGAACCACCCACCAAGCCAAGTCTGGGGCGCGAACAGACACCGTCTATCCCTGATGAAGATGCCAGCCTAGCTGTATTTCGAGCAGCGCTCACGAGTTCATCACCTGCTCAAAACGCAGGCGGGTTTCCTTGGGCCGGAAGGTTGCGACTCGTAGCACGCGGACAGATGCCAGTCACCCACATCGGCAGCGGTGACCCCAACCTCTTCCACTTCGCCACGTCACCCCCGCCCAACCCTTCACCAACCCTCACAAGCGCTTCCACTCGGTCTTCATTGACCACAAACAGTGGGCTGGGACGGATTCGAAAGTAGGGAGAATGTGAGTAGATGCAGCAGCGCATCGGACTCGCAAAGTGGTCAAGTTGTTCTCGTTGGTTCTGTAACTTGCCTGTGTGTACCTACCTATCCTCTCATCACTTACTGGGGCACATAGTAGGGTGCGCTGATGAAGACCGGACCAAGTTGATCGCAGCAGTCTGCGCTGTACAAGCAAGGTTCGGTGAAGAAATGCTCACGACTCATTCTCTTAGTTTCGGCGGTCCCAATATCGTTATCAGCTCTCCTTCTGTCCACAGGACCGACGTGACTTGGAGGAAGGGGATCAGGTGTGATGAGGAGCCGAAGGGATGGACTCCGTAAGGAAATCAGGTCGGGATGCTGCATAACGAGAAAGATGGAAGTCATACATCAGTAAAGCTAAGCGTTCAAAATAGGAGACGAGGATGTGGTTATGTGTAGCTACTCTGACTCATCACTCGGCTAAACTTATTGGTTTTGGTTGTATAGAGATCTCGAGTGTGGTAAGTGATCTAGATAGCAGGAGGAGTTATTATGACAACCGCTTTATTACTTGAGCTCGGTGGGGGGTGGCGCAGAAGGACCTATGCTTTTGTCATCTGCCCTCCTACAACCTCGCAGGCAAAGTTCGTTGTCAATTTCTGCCATTTGTTGGAAGGTTCCACCCCTGATTGAATTCTACGACAGAAGGCTCCATTTCGGGATCAATTGTATACCTGAAGAAGGAGATATGTATGCAACGCCTGCATTCAGGTGAGCGTCTTGTCGAAAGTGGTGACTACGCTGATAGATATTGTCAATCTATTGTTATTCTCGGTGACCAGTCAACGACTAACACCACTGGATACGGTGACTCCTTGAGTGTCTTAGTCCATTCAGTGGCTCTGACTCGGTTGTCTCTTTCTTGGTTGGAAGCATTCGCTTCTTCCTCATGAATTTTATGTCTGATAAGGCTAATGTCCGCGGCGTGAGGGAATGGGACAAATAGAACAGCCGTCGACCACATTTGTCCGAAGCGGGGTCGTTAGGCGGCAGGTACTTAATACGTTGCGATGGCTAGAGCAAGAACGGCGTTCGCATCCTTCAACCTTGAACGTCACATTCGATATGGTCCCAATGTCTAAGCTTGTTCGCTCTGCCTCTTTAATCAACGTAGCAACCGGGCTGGCGGCCATATGGGCGTTACGTATGGCAATCCGAGCAATTCGGAAGAAATCGAGAACGACAAAACTAAGGGGACCAAAGAGCACTAGTCTGTTGTTTGGAGTAGGTAAAGAGTTGTTCGAATCGCCTGATTCAGGAGCCATGTTCGAGGCATGGTCCAAGGAGTACGGTGTGGTGTATGAAATTCCAATGATGTGCGGACAAAAGAGGATCATACTCTGCGACCCGAAAGCAGCGGCACACCTCTTGGCTAGAGATACATGGTTGTACGTGGGCATTCCGGGTATCAAAGCGGCCATTGCACGGAGGGTACGTACGATTTCAGTATGTTTCCATGGTTCCCTCATTCCGGGATCCCCAGGTAGGAAAGGGGTTGTTTTGGGCTGAAGGCGAGTCACACAGAAGGTATGGTCTCCCTGGTTTAACATCATCACGTCCTAATGCCGGATGGATGTACTTTCAGGCAAAGGAGATCCATCGCACCTTCATTCACTTCTACCGCCATTCGAAAGTTAAGCCCCACCATCCATAAAATCGCGGATAGGGTAAGCAAATACAGTTACTACGCCCGTGTCAACCGAGTTCTTAGCATCTTTCTGCGACAGCTGAAAGTAGCTTGGGAAGCACGCATCGATGAGAACGGAGGCGGGAGTGTTGTCCTTGATGTTGAGAAATGGTACGTTATATGGAATGCACTGACCGTTTAGGTGTCTTAACTCTGTTTCAGGATGAACTACGTCTCGTACGTTCGTTTTCTATGACATTCTGGAAGCCTTGTAATTTTCTTCAGTCTCGATTCTGTTGGGATTGCAAGTTTCTCCTACGACTTCGGCTCCCTTAATGAAAAACCAAATAGCATGATTTCGGTCCTCGACGCTTTCGGAGCGCCCTCACCCCACCACCTTTTGGATGATGTTGTTTTCCTGCTTTCCATCATTTTTCCTATGGCAATGAATGTGCCAACCTGGCGGAACAAGATGTTTGACGAGCTTCGCGAGCGAATGACGGAGATCTGTGACATGTTGGTCGATAACGCCACAAAGGAGAAGGAAGGCGCTTCAAGTGAACAAGCCTCTACAATCGGTTTGCTGCGTACGCTATCGTGGTCGTGTACTGATCTCTCCCTGATTAATGCGTCGATCAGTGAAGGCAGAAGATGAAGATTCTGGCCAACGTATCTCTCGAGAGGAGGTCTTGGCGCAGGTGAGGGAATTCTGATATGTTCTGACAGCGCCAACTCACCGAAGCTGCTTTTCAACAGATGCGTGTATTGTTTATGGCGTCATACGAGGCCACAGCAAGTACGCATCGTAAATGCGGTGTTAAATTGTCCTGTTATAACGAGATCGTCACTTCTAGTCACTATGACCTGGGCGTTGGTCGAACTCGCACGGCACCCAGATATTCAAATTAAACTTCGCGAAGAACTTTTGTCTTTCGGTGGAGACCCCTCATACGACGAGATTACTACTGGCCTCCCTTACCTCGATGCTGTGGTGCAGGAGACTCTGCGCTTTCGTCCAGCCGCCCCGGACTTGATACGTCAAGTACGTAGTTAGGTGGAAATTCACGTTCGGCGCTTAACTCGATTTCATTCTCATATAGGCAGATGAGGACAGTGTCATTCCTCTGTCAGAGCCTGTGCGGACACAGTCTGGTGAAGTGGTTGATAGCATAGTTGTCGAACGCGGGACAGTGTTTGGTGTATCTATTCCCTGCATGAACCGCTCCGAAGCGGTCTGGGGTTCGGACGCTAAAGTGTTTAGACCTGAACGATGGTTAAAAAATGATGGCGTAACGAAGAAAGCTCGGGAGGTGAAGGGATACCGACATTTGCTCACATTTGGTGATGGTCCGAGGATTTGTCTTGGAAAATTGTTTGCTATTGCTGAGATCAAGGTACGTGTCTATCTTGCGAGAGGCGTAGTGCTTACCGAGTGAAATTCGACATTACAGACAGTACTTTCGGTGGTGGTCAAGAACTTTGTGCTCGAGATGAGGGACGGACCAGATACGAAAATTGAGATAACTAGGGGGATTACACTGAGGCCCAAAGTTGCAGGAGAAGCTGGTATCAAGGTACCATTAAGGATTAGGCAATACAAAGGCTGAAGATGTGGCTTTACTCAACCCTAGCATGCGCTTGATTCAGTCCTGTTACAGAGGGTCCCTGTTTGATAGCCGTCTTGGCTGGTAGTAGGTTAAAATGGGTTAGTGGCAGCCTGAACATCTCTGAGTCACAATGTCACAACCACGCATCACACATTAGAGGTGTCCTACGGATCCTCTCGGCCCCGCAGGACCGGAGGTTTAAGAAAAATACTAGCCATTCCTATTATTTCGATCAATCAGCGGTCGCCAAAATCAACCGTGTTTCGAATGGTACGTTCGTCCTGATGGGACCACTGTTCAATGTTCAACCTCCGGATCGCACAAGCCAAGATCAGTAGAAAAGTGAGTTCAACATGTTCCAGGCTGCTGTGTGCTTTTACCTTCATAGCGATGCATCGACCCATAGAGACCTGGACGATGGCCAGTGATGCCGACAGATCAGTGGGCTCGGGGCTCACAAGAAAGTGCAGCAACTCAACGGCAATCCAACATAAAGTTTGAGTGTGGCGCAAGGTTGGTGTTTCATGTTTTACCTCCATGATTTTTCTCAAAAGTAATAGTCGGTCCGGCACCATAAATCATTGCCGGTGCTACAACTTTCCGCTCACTTTGCCGTAGCCTGTGGTTTGGTTTTGCTGTCAAAAGACATCTGTTAGTCTAGGAATGGAATGAAGCAGGGCAGGTTGACTTTGTAATACAAATCACTCCGGCAAGACATTCTCGTGTTTCATGTCTCCTCCGGTTCCTGTCACGTGCGCTGAATACATCCTGTGCATCATCAAATCTTAAGAGTATAGGACACTAAAGCCTCAAATCACATCAGAATATCATCAGAATGCACAGAAGCATGTCACCCACGGATACTACCCTCCTTGTCATCGACGTCCAGCAAGGCAAGTCGGCCCACTCCGCGGTCACCCTTCTACAATGCACTTACCTCCACCCCAGGTCTCGCCGACAACACACCGTTCCACGGCGGGCACCGCAACAATCCCCAAATCGAGAATACCATCCCAGCCCTCCTCACCCTCTTCCGCACCCGCAACCTCCCCATCTTCCATGTTAAACACAACTCACGCGACCCCGCCTCGACTCTTCACCCCTCACATCCAGGAAACGCCATATTCCCCTTCGCCACGCCCTCTCCAACTCGTCCTATAGATGAGCCGCTCTACACGAAATCTGTCCACTCTGCGTTCATAGGTACTTCTCTCGAAGCGGATCTCCGAGCGTGCGGTATCACGCGGCTCTTTGTGTGCGGCTTCACGTCTAACATGTGCGTGAACACGACGGTACGCATGGCTGAGGACCTCGGGTTCGAGGTGTTCGTCGTAGAAGATGCATGTGCAACGTTTGATAGGGTCGGACCGGATGGCGTATTGAGGCGCGCTGAGGACATTCACGCATACGCATTGACAGATTTGCATGGAGAATTCTGTACTGTTATCAAAGCAAGCGATGTGCAGGGTTTATTAGGTAGTTCAGAGGCGTAGAAAGGATATGCCCACGCTAGGATATGTTGAGCGTTGGTTCAGTAAATTCACGTGACCGCGCCGGGCGCGTTGACGGAATTATGTAAGTCGGGTCACCTGAGCGTCTCACCGTCTTGAAGACACGGGGGTCACGTGTCCTTGTCCAGATTCTGTCAGCACCACCGAAAATCATAGAACGTCGTATGGAAATGCACTACAATTCCGCTAACTCTTCAAGACAATCGAAGCACATTCCCTCAACGATATTTCAATCACTCAAACTATCCTACAGCTCGAACGTCGCTACGTGGTCCTCATTTCACAATTCCTACCCCTTCTTCCGACCGGTCCCACTTCACGCCTCCACTGATGCATTTCCTTCGTTCATGAACTTCTTCTACTTATAAAACGTCATCTCCAAAAGTTCCCACCTGAAAGCGGGTATGCTGCTCGTCAGTATCTGTTGGTTGAACAAAATGTGAGAGATTACCAATCCAATCCAGGATGATACGTCTGTAGATGGAAAATGGCAAGCGAACTGGCACGCGCAGACCCGATCTTGTGAAAGGTAACTCAAATTTTATTTTGCTATCATCCAGCGTGAAGCAGCCAGTGTCCCCGAAGTCACGTCCAAGACCCAGCAACCATCGTCTCGCTTCGGAGACTGGGAGGTGCGAATCCAACCAAAGAATACATACGACCCACTCGTTTGTTGGTTGCCTTGAGCTAAGAAGGCAGCCATATTCCACCCTGATTTACCAGGAGCGAATCGGAGTTTCCTTGTGGGATCCTCCTTCCCTACGATGTTGAAACAATCTGCAAGAATGGTGCGTGGAGAGCATCTTCTAGTTGCTTTCGAGTGTGCTCTAACTCCTGGGGTGGCACCATGGCCGAATTGTTGGCAAGGCCCTCCTTGAACGTCTCCAAGATCGATTAAGCCCCTCTGCCACCAATTCCCAAGCATATCTGATCGTCGTGTTCACATCTCCACTCCCGTGTCCAGTCGGGTCACTGGCCCAAGTCAGGTGTCCCACCACCCTTGTTGCAATATGTAACCCGTCCTTGGCCATTTCAATCTCTTCGTGGTTACGGTGACCCAAGACTTCTGGATAGACGAGGTATTCTTGTCGCATTTTTGCCTTTCTTTCTTGACTGTCGTAGAGCCGCAGTGGACCAGTTCCTGCACTACACATGCTGTGCGATGGAGTCAGCTGGGGAAAGGTGAGTTCACCGTCCGGAATCCTACTTATCAGCGCTGTTTTGTTCCCTGACCTTTGGATCGATTTGGCTCTTATTCGCCATTTCCACCTTCGATTCACCCATCGTTTTGATAGGTCGTTGATGATCTGGTCAGATCTGGCGGATGGAAATCTGGTACTTCGACTTCGCTTTTGACAACGCGAGACCGAAAGAAAGGCAATGGTAATCCGTATTTCAATGTTTTCTAGTAAACATAGAGTGATGTGCCTGTTTAAATTGATGCCCATTATCGCTTCGAGATTACTCTGAAACCCATCCTCCTAATCAACCGATGTCCTGGAGCTTTCACGACAATCCACGCTGACACCAAGTTACTCAAATGCATAACACCGAACACACTCGGAAAGTGATTGCTTCTTTGGTTATACTTATGAGCTGCATCTAGCAGTTAGTACAAAGCTACTACAGAAGTGCAACTCTTTCATCTTGAAAGTTCAGAAATAATCATCTTACCTGTCAAAGTTCTGGTAGTACCGAAAATTATACCATGTCATGTGGAACGTCCAAAAGACATGAACTTCATCCCTACGTTAAATGCCCCTACCGTCCAATACAATCGACGAAGTACATTCCCTCCGCGATATTTCAATCGCTCAAAACTATACTACGTATTCTACAACGTGCGCGGACATTTCAACACACATCGCTGAAACACCTCCCGCTTCACGCCTCCAACAGCTTCTTCCTCAGAACATCCTTCAGTGCATCTCCATCACCCGCAAACTTCTTAATGCCCTCGTGCAACTTATCAAACGCCATTTGATCCTGTAGGAGATCCCACCTGAACGTTGTTCAGATACGAAACCTTTGCGATGGGATCTGCCTGTGCGGCTATACATGTGATTCAGACGTACTGCCAATCAATGTAAATCAGAATCGAAACCCCCAGGTATGCAGGTAGGTGGAGGGGTCATAGTCACATCGTACATACCTTTTTCTGAGTCAAGTTTGTTCGGAACTGGATCTGTAGACCTGCGGAGTTCCTCCAGAAGAGCGGGAGAAATAGTCAAAAAGTCGATGCCTGCAAGGGCTTTGATTTCTCCAACCTTTATACACGAGCAAAAAAAATGCGAAGTGAATCGCGGTGGTCATACTAGGGAATCTAGATGCGAGAAGGCTTACGTTGCGGAAGCTGGCACCCATCACGATGGTTCTGTACCCGTGTTGCCTGTAATAATTGAATATCTTCTTAACAGATTGGACACAGGATCGTCGTCGCCCGAATAATCCTTTCCGGTATGTTTCTTGTACCAACCCAGAATCTGAAAACATAAAATTCACATTCATTCGCACCACACAGTGAGCACGCGGGCACGTACACGCCCAACAAAAGGCGAGACCAAAGTCACGCCTTCTTCAGCATATGCAACAGCCTGGACGAATCCAAACATGAGAGTAAGATTGCAGTGTATCCCGTGTTTCTGTTCGAGCTCTCGAGCGGCTTGAATGCCGTCCCATGTGGAAGTGATTTTGACGAGTACGCGGTCCCGTTTTATACCCGCAGATTCGTAGAGAGCGACGAGTTCCCGAGCCTGTCGGGTGGAAGATGTCAAACTACTATGACACGAGGAGAGGAGAATGGATGCTCACCTTAGCAATCGTCTCTTCTTTATTGAAGGAAAGGGAGCATCGACCTCAGTAGAGACACGACCCGGAATGACATCCAAGATCGCTTTTCCGAACTTCACGAGCTGGCAGACACACGCACACAAGTCAATCTGGCGAGACCAACACATGACAACGCGTGTATGCTCACCAAGCAATCCATGGCGGTGTTGGCTTGCTGATCGAGAGTTCCTCCTTTCGCCTTGGCATTTTTGAGCGTTGCATCTACGAGATGTGCGTGTTGGGGCTTATTGACAGCTGCGAGGAGCAATGATGTGCGGTGCGATCTAAGTTGGTCGTGATAATTGTTGCCATGTATGATAGCAGAACACCGTTGTAGTCCAAGACACGCGAGTCACGTGAGGGCTCCATAAGTTTCGGATCATTTTCCTTGTCCAAGTTTTGCCAGTACTACCGAACATCGTAGAACGTTCTACGAAAATGCACCACAAACCCGCTTACTTTTCAAGACAATCCAAGCACATTCCCTCGACGACATTTCAGTCACTCAAACTATCCTACAGCTCGAACGTCGCTACACGGTTTTCATTTCACAATTCACACCTCCTCTTCCGACCGGTCCCGCTTCACGCCTCCATTAGCCTCTTCCTGAGAATACCCCTCAACGCATTTCCATCATCTGTAAACTTCTTGATATTCTGTACAAGCCATAACGTCATTGCTAATCCTCCAAAAATTTCCACCTGAATCCAGGTATGTTGTTCGCCAATATCTACTGGCTGAACAAATTGTGAGAAATTACCAAACTAATCCAACATGATACGCCAGTAGATAGGATTTTGATTTTCCTTGAAAATGGGGAGCGAAGTAGCACACACCGTTCCGATCTTGTGAAAGGCGCTTCCAGCGGTTCTATTTGCTATCATCCAGCGCTGAGCAGTCTGTATCTCCGAAGTCACATCCAGGATCCAGCAATCATCTGGGTTTGGAGCCTGGGAGGCGTGTATCCAGCCCAAGAACACATACGACCCACTCGCTTCCTTTTTCCGGGCATCTTGGGCTAAGAAGACCGCCATATTCCACCCTGAAATACCAGGAGCGAATCGGAGTTTGCTTCTAAGATCTTGCTTCTTCACGATGCCGAAACAATCTGCAAGAGATGGTGCGTGGAGAGCATCGTCTAGTTGCTTTTGGGTGTGCCTTAACTCCTGGGGTGGCACCATGTCCGACTTATCGAGGCCGCCCTTGAGCAACTCCAAGATCGGCTGAGGATCAAACCCCTTGGCCACCAATACTCAGGTGCATCCGATCATCACGTTCACCTCTCCGCCCCCATGTCCAATCGGGGCACTGGCGCCAGTCAGGCGTCCCACCACTCTTGCCGTAATATGCAACCCATCTTTAGCCACTTCAACCCCTCCCCGGTTGCGGTGACCCAAGATCTCTGGATAAACCTCGCAAGTTGCACCGCCGAAGATGCGAGGCATCCAGGTGGGCGCATCAGCCCTTATAGCATCATAGAGCAATGGCCACACCCTCCCCGATGTTACTGCCTTCACCATCGTTCGCTCCCACAGTTGCTCGAGTTGCCTGAGTTCCTTGAGTTCCCTGAGCTCTCGCTCTGCCTCAGATTCGGAACTCGGCCTTGCAGCAGCGGTATCGAGCTCGCTGAGGGAAACCTTGTCTTCATCTTGCAATAACGGATATATTCCGAGAATGCGATCGACAGGGTACGTGGTTGTCTTCCAGGAGGTTATACAGATGGCGGTGAGCTATTCGACATGTCCGTCTCGTTGGAATGTGTCTTTCAAATCCCAACTAGGTAATTGGTGTTCCCATGGACCTGGGAGCACGAGTTCTTTTTCGGGATGAACGAATTCGTAGTCTCTCCCACCTTCGGGCTTTGCCAGCCACCGGTTTCTGAGTACCTTGAAGTACCGGCGCACGACGCTGCCCAGCATGTCAACGAATAGCCCTTGGCCATTTAAGAGGACGTGCGCTTGGGGCAGCAGCAGCTCTTGGTATGTCCACACCCTGTAGAACCATCCGTCGTTGAGAACAACCTCCAACATTGACAAGTTATCCCAGAACAATTGCTTGTTAGCCTCCACTGAAGCTCGTGTGTCGTCGGTCCTAGCCATCATCACCATAATGGATGCGTTCGCCTTGTTGAATTCCTCGTAATTCACTGGGATGACAAGGCAAGCTGTTGCCTCCCGATAATAGTGGCCCATTTTTGCAACCTCCTGCGCTCTCTCTCTTTCCGCCTGGTTATCGCGGGCTTGGTTCGTGCATAATATGTCCATCCACATCCACTTGACCTTTGTCGTCTCGCAGTACTGGAGGATGCGCTTCAATTTTTCTGGGTCAGAGATGGGGATACTCCAAGGGGTACCCCAATCCCTTCCAGGCTGAATCTTCTCCTTTGTGATCTTTCCCCACACGTGCGATACCACAAGGTAGGGGGGAACCTTGCCCTGGTTCTCACCGAGGTATGTTTGTCGGTCTTTTGTGGCCTTATTTTCACAGTCGTAGAGCCGCAGTGGACCGTTTTCCGCACTACGTATGTTGTGCGAGGGTGTCAGCAGGGGAAAGACGAGCTCATTGTTCGGACCCCTACTTATCAGTGCTGTTTTTCTTCACCACCAATCCATCCATTGCTTCCACAGATCGTTGATGATCTGGCCAGATCTTGAGTATGGGAACTGAGTGCTGATCTGGGTGCTCCCACTCGAAAGTCTTTTTATCAAGCACGTCTTCCTTCGAGATCACCCCAGTTCTCCAAGAGTATGGAGCCAGTATGATGTTCTGAGAGCCCATTGTTGAGAATAGTTGCGATCAGTGAAAAAGCAAGCAAGGGAGTTAGTGAAGTTGGAACGTCTAGTACTTCGACTTTGTTCTTGACAGTGTGAGACCATTCTGGATAAAACTAACTTTCCCAGCAAGGTAATGGTAAATCGTTTTTCCGTGTTTTCCAGTAAATATAGGGCGATATGTCGGTTTCAATTGATGCGCACTATTGCTTTTTAAAAATCATGCTCTCAATCGAATGATACCGGCTCGCACACCCACGACGGCCCAGGATAACTTGGTGTCGGTGACCACCGACACCAAGTTATCCAGATGCCATAAAACCGAACACAGAAAGTTATTGGAGAGTATAACCAAAGAAGCAATTCCACGTCGAGTGTCAACTGCATCTAGCATTTAGTACAAACCCAGTAACTTACTCACTAGGTACATACCTCTTAGTACGCATAGCAACTGTCCTCTATGTATTTCAAGTTGTAAACTGTAGAATTGCAAGTCTTTACCTGGAAGTTCAGAAACAATCATCTTGCATATCAAAGTTCTGGCACCACCGAAGATCATACCATGTTACATAGAACGTCTAACAGAGATTCCCCCAGCTTTTCAAGACAATCGAAGCACATTCCCTCAACAATATTTCAGTCACTCAAAACTACGTAGCCTACAACGTACGCGAGCACTTCACACACATACCTCTTCCGACCTGGCCCACCCCCGCTTCACGCCTCCAACAGCTTCTTCCTCAGAACATCTTTCAGTGCATCTCCATCATCCGCAAACTTCTTAATGCCCTCGTGCAACTTATCAAACGCCATTTGATCCTGCAGAAGATCCCACCTGAACGCGGATTCGTTGTTCAGATAAGAAACCTTTGCGATGGGATCTGCTTGTGCGGCTATACATATGATTCAGACATATTGCCAATCAATGTAAACCAGAATCAAAACCTAGGTATGCAGGTAGGTGGAAGGGGCCATAGTCATGTCGTACATACCTTTTTCTGCGTCAAGTTTCTTCGGAACGGGATCTGAAGACCTGCGGAGTTCCTCCAGAAGAGCGGGAGAAATAGTCAAAAAGTCGATGCCCGCTAGGGCTTTGATTTCTCCAATCTTTTACGAAACGCAAGAACAAAATGGAGAGTGAGCACGAGGTCACGCTAGGTATGAGATGGAAATGCTGCAAGCAAGCTTACGTTGCGGAAGCTGGCACCCATCACGATAGTCTTGTACCCGTGTTGCTTGTAATAATTGAATATCTTCTTAACGGATTGGACACCCGGATCGTTGTCGCCCGAATAATCCTTTCCGGTATGTTTCTTGTACCAGTCCAGAATCTGAAAACATAGAAAACATAAAAATTCACATTCTTTCGCACCACACAGTGAACACGCGGGCACGTACACGCCCAACAAAAGGCGAGACCAAAGTCACGCCTGCTTCAGCACACGCAACAGCCTGGACGAATCCAAACATGAGAGTCAGATTGCAGTGTATCCCGTGTTTCTGTTCGAGCTCTCGAGCGGCTTGAATGCCTTCCCATGTGGAGGCGATTTTGATGAGTACGCGGTCCCGTTTTATACCCGCAGATTCGTAGAGAGCGACGAGTGCCTGAGCCTGAAAAATGTCAGACTGCTATGATACGAGGAAAGGAGAATGGATATCTACCTTGGCAATTGTTTCTTCCTTGTTGAAGGAAAGGCGAGCATCGACCTCAGTAGAGACACGACCCGGAATGATATCCAAGATCGCTTTTCCGAACTGCACGAGCTGACACACGCACAAGTCGGTCGGTCCGGTGAAACCAACGGATGACAACACATATACGCTCACCAAGCAATCCATGGCGATGTTGGCTTGCTGATCGAGGGTTCTTCCTTTCACCTTGGCATGTTTGAGCGCTGCGTCTACGAGATGTGCGTATTGGGGCTTATTTGCAGCTGCGAGGAGCAAGGATGGGTTGGTCGTTGCATCCTGCCCGGAGTTTGCTCAGCACATATGGCCCGCTCTCAGTACCTCACACTATCACGCTTACCTGCGGCTTGTAAACATCGATAGCTAACGGATACATTTACCGGGTTTCAGCATCACGAGAAGTGACAGGATAGATAGAGGTTCCACGACGTACTCTCAAAGTCGCCAGAGTCGCTGACGACAACGGTACTTGTCTGCTTGAGTTGGTCGAGTGACGTGGTCATGATGATGATGATGATGATGATGATGGTCGGCGATCAGTGGGCGAAATTTCAGTCACGATGTAGGCTGGTGGGGTGCGGGGAGCCGCTGACTTCAGAGTGATATCATATTATGTGTCGTCGGTCCCTTGCGCCGAGACAAATACGGAGGCAACCAGTGCAAGCAAGCATTGTCAATAAAAGAGGATAGACTGCACCTTCAGCATTAGTCGTACTACGGTGAGTCTCAGTACTTGGGGGGAGTGGGAGGCATGCCATCGTTAACTGTCTGGACCCTGGGCCCGACCGACATCAATCAGTGAGCATCACTGCAATGGCTTGTCGCCATCGTAGCGACCTCCCCGATCAATGTCGGCCCTGGACCCTAAGTAACCATCCATGCAGTATGTATACCCATAGTCGACACAAGCTTCTAGTGCATGGTCATCATAGCGCCCAGTCAAATGGTTAGAATAACGTCGGGCGCTCAGAGCTGATTTGTGTGAAATTGCACGACGATTGGTTGAGTAGGACCTATAGTAGCCTTCGAGAGTCGAAATCGTCTATTTGTCGTCGTCGAAGATTGGTATGTGCAGCGTCGTTACGCGGTCTGGTGATATGTTGAAGCGCACCGTCAGACTAGAGGACGTGACCGTTCTCAACATCCAACTAAGGATTTGTTTGGGTTTAACGGCTCAAAGTGGTTCATAACAAAAGACCCGTCCACATCCACTCGCCTACAACATGAGATACACACTAACTACGATGGAAATAAAGATGCTTTGCACAGTTCGGGGGGGTATGTGATAGAAAGAAAAGAGAAGATCAACTAGAATGGGTGAAATGATGATCATATGTGCCAGAGGGTCGGTCGTGCCTACAACAGTCAGAAACAGAAAAAAGACAAACGCAGATTACCCATACGATATACTTGGTGTCGTTCACTCACTCGCCCGAGCCCCACCTCCGCCTCCTGGACTCCTCACCATCCAGCTCCAACCTCCCAATCACCTCAGCAGACCCTCCACTCGACGCAACATCCCCTCCCCCACTCAGTGACCTCATCGATCCCAATCTCGGTCTCTGAACTCCACTACCACTTACACTCCCCCTCGAACTCCCACCACCACTCCCACCACCACTTCCTCCTCCCAGACTCCCAGCGCCAGGTGACCGGTCCCTTTCCCTGCCGATCGTTCCGACCCCCACTTGCTCTGACGACCTCCTCCTTCCAATCCCATACCCAAGTCCCTCCAATGACGCCAAGAACATTTCATTCATATGCTTCAATTTCTCGTCTACCTCCGCTTCGCGTGTCAGCATCGGCCCCGCACTGATCGACGACGAGGACCGACGACGACGATCGGTCGCGATATCCATTCCAGGCGTCTCCAAATTGTCCGTGCCACCGCCACTTCTGCCGGCGGTAAGTCCGATACCCAGTCCGATACCTGTTTCGCTGCCACCTTGATCTGCATCACCCGAGTTACGCCTACTGCCGCCGGGATCGCCACCTCTTCGAGCAAGACTACTCGGCAAGTCACGCGACAATCGTCCCACCGCCGACCTTTCTGCTGTCGACGTAAGCGGTTTCCGCGCGTCGATTTCCTGCACGAACATCGACAATTCATCATCGTCTGTCGATGCTGCCAAAAACGAGGTCGTTCGACCTCTCTCGCGGGCCCTGCTACCACCCTCACCTCCGTCCTTGCCCACTCCTTCCTGCGAGGGCTCGCGCTGTCCACCTCCTTCCCTTGATAGTTCGCGTACGCGGTCGTGTTCGATAGCGGGACCTCCACTGGGGGTGCCAACACCAGCACTCCCGGGACTCCCTTCACCAACCCCACCTCCAGCAGACCCGCTTGGCGAATACCGATGTCCAAAACTACTCCTATACCGTCCCCTGCCTATCCTCGGCGACGACGACGTTCCAGCATTGGTAGGCATGGTTGGACTGGTATTCGCATCCGCGCCCGTGCCTGCAGCCACTCCACTTCCAGCACCAGTACCAGTTGCACCGAACGACCCAGCAGTCAGCTCGACTCCATCCGCCGACGCCACAGACCCCCGTCTATCCCGGTCTCCCAAAGACGGTGCAAAAGGCGGAGATGGTTTGCCTCCATGTCCGCTCACCCCTTGTCCAATCGGAGAGACGGGTGCGCGAGGAGAGGACTGAACACGGGTGGGGAGACTCGGGAGCGTGGGGAGGATGTTCCCGGCCGAAAGCGGCGAGGGTTGGCGAAGTGAGGGTGATGGGGAATGGATGGACGGCGAGCCAGAGGACAGGGTAGATGATTTGAATGGATGCACGGGACTAATACCAGACTTGCGGATTGGAAGAGCGCCGGGGAGGTCCTGTGTCTGAAATCATTACACTACAACACAACAAGGGAGAGGGGGTGTGGCGTACCGTCGTGCTGCGTCCTGTGGCGCTCATGCTTTCCCTCCGTAAACGCGTCAGAGACGGCAGGGCACCCACTTCCTTAGACCACGTCCCACTTCCCTCTTGTTTGGACGATGTAAACGACAGTGCCGAACTGGACCCAGCGCCTGTCGTAGTAGTTGTGGTGGTACGACTAATAGGTAACGCTGCATGACCCGTCTTGGGACTTTGACTGCCCAGAACAGAGCTAAGCGACTGTGTGCGAGAATGCGTGCCGGGATGACCGGTTGGCGGGAGGATAAACTGTCCTGCAATGGAGGACGGCGGGCTCTTGGGGAGGGAGGTACGTAAACTCGTGGTTGGACCGGCGAGTCCGGACATGGAATCTCTTGCTTGGTTCTTTGCAAGAGTTGGTGTGAAGTCGGAAGCTTCGTCGAGGGAAAGGAAGCGGGATGAAAGGAGGGATTCTAGTTCGTCGACCTGGAAGTTGGGCGAGGTGAGGTATTTGGCGGAAAGAGAAAGCATGCCCATTGGGTGTGGAATGGAAGGGAAGGTGTGTGTCTCGTAAGGAAGCGGGGAAATGTTAAATGCAGGGGGGTCGTCTACGTGAGAGAGAGGGGAAGTTAGTCACGGTCGGCGGATGGAATAAGGGTACCGAATACGAGACAGGTTTCGGAAAACGGATATGAATGTGCCTCATGGTTGTATAGGAATGGAGGGCGTGTCACGCCCCTCCACCACCAGCACAGATACCGGAAACAACGTGTCGGGGGTGAACACTTACCAAACTCGAGTATATGTGCTATTCCAGCATCAGATCCACTTATTCGCAATTGTACGGTGAGGTTTGCATTTCTATATGGGACGCTCATGCGCCTGCGTAGTCTCGTGCATAGTTTCCACGTGGGTAGGATACGAAGTAACGTATAAAGACTCCGAAAGAGGGGTATTCCGTGTTTGTATATTGTGGAGGGAGCAACATCGCCTGGATGTTCGTCTGAGTGGTCTGGTGTGGGGGGTGTCGTCGTCGTATGATGAGGGGAGGAGGGGGAGAAGTGGACGAGCCAAGACTCGAGTACGATATGCTGTGGTGTCGGGTCGATGCGGAGACGGGAGTGGTCTGGGGAGAGATGGACAAGGACCTGGTTAGAGGACAGGTCTGGGACGGTAAGAAGGACCTGGAGCTCGAAGGTGCTGGGAGGGGGCGAGGATGATATGGAACGGTAGATTCGCAGAGGGTCCCTGTACAAGTCGTAGTCGGGTGTTTCTAGGTTGAACTTAGGCACACGAAATGATTAAGAATACGGCCACGACAGAGAGGAGACTGCAGAACACACCCATTTGTCGACTTTGGCCGGTGTCCTGTGCTCTGTGGTTGACCTGGCATTGTGGACGACGAGACAGAGCTTGGCATAGAATCTATAGGCTATCTGATCAGCCTTCTGGATGTCATTGGACATTGTAGGATGACTTTGAGATTAGAAGATATTAAGCCAGGTGCGACATTAAAGTACGAGGTTCAATATTGAGCGACAAGCCTTGTAGTGGTGTGGTGGGGTGGTGGTGGTCCTCCTCACAGCTAATAAGCACAGTGTGGACTAACCAACCCAGCCATCCCTTTTATGGAAATCACAGGATTATGTCATCCAATATCGAACCCGAGTCACACCTTCGAGTCCAGACCAGCCAAGTCATTTGGCAAAAGAACGCGGGGGTTGTAATTGACATCGAGTGCTTGCTGTAGTCTGAGCCACAGTCACAGAGGAAGTTTGGTACTGACTACCCCGGATCTCATCCGCACAGCTCATCCACAGTACTTGCAGTCTGTTCCCTGTCACTTTCTTGACCCATCATGACGTTTTGACATATTCTCTTTGATCGACTCGCGGGTTACTGGTATACCCAAAACAGACGAGCCCCTGTACAGCTAACACACAGAAAATCATACTCATACAAGCTATGCACAATTGAGACCGACAATATACGAGTCACCAATACTTCCATTCCCTGTGGGTCCTTCACTCCTTCACACGCTTTATCGCCTCCAATGCTAACCGCGGACTGCGATCGCGATCACATACAGCAAACCACGAGTCCGTCAGCATCGATAGAACACGCACACAAACATACACGAGTCTCACGTCACGTACCTGTCCATGGGCTTAACTGGCATCTTCTTATCGATAAGCTTCCCACCTTGCTCAAACACGAAATGACTCCTCTTCGTCTTGTTACCTTCCGCGGCACCGAGCGCACCGATGAGTACGCGCTTCGGATCCGAGAGAAGCTCGTAGGGCAAGTTTTTCTGGGTACATAGTCGTCGTCATTACCGTCATCAGGCTGAGAAGTGGCGCACCTTGGTCTGCCATTTACTCTGCGCAGTCGGAGAGTCCGCACTAAGACAATACACATCGTAATCGAGCGCAGTGAATTCTTGCCAGATATCTCTGAATCCACATGCTTGCTGCGTACATCCCGCTGCCATTTTTACACATAATTTCACCGCAGCCGCCATCGATATCGACGTAATCATAATCGATCGATCCAAGTCAGCCAGCGATGAAGAAAGGGACGGACTACGCACGCGTATCGGCTTTAGGCACGAGGAACAACACAACTCCCTTTTCGGCGACGAGCGTGGACGTCTCGACGTCTTCACCTTTCTCGTTCTTGACGGTAAGAGAGGGAAGCGTGTCGCCGATGTCAATCGTTGTTTTCACAGGCTCAGAATCAGCCATCGGGACGTCGCCGTCACCACCCTCCGCTTGAGTTGGCTCAGCAGCCGGCCCAGGTGACTGGTTTTCTTCTGTTGAAGCCTCTGCAGGTTTGGCTGTTTCTTCGTCAGGAGGAGGTAACTTGACCTGCCAACCCCACCCCGTAGCATACCATATATACGCGTACCGTAGAAGAAGAAAAAACAGACCAGATCAGACTCGTCAAGATACCCTCACAACTAATGTCCGCACCTTTTTCGCATCTCCCCCCTCCTCTCCACTCACCGCATCCTCCTTCCCTTCCTTTACATCCACATCACCTTCCGCATCTGCATCCATCGCATCTGCCGCACGTTTTTTTCCCTGTTTTGAAGTACGACTACCACCACCACTACTACCAACAACAGTAGTAGCACTGGTAGCTTTCCCCCCTTTTTTCTGTCTCCGGCGAGGCGCGACTTCTGATTTGGGTTTTCCGGATATCCGACTTGACCGTCTTGGTGCCTGGCCTGGCGCAGGCGGGGGAGCAGTCGTCGTCGGTGTGGGGTTAGCCATTTCTTCGCTCGTTTCTTGTTGGAAGTACTCTGTAGGTTATTCTCTGAGCGCCTGAGTCTGGAGTATCGATCGTGGAAGTAGCCGGCTGTAGAAAAGAAGAATTGGCACTGTGAACCGAAAAACCAAATCCACCGGTTCCACAGGGAGAGGGGGAAACCAAAGAGAAGGGCGTGCCTGAGTGGGTGGTCCGTGCGCGGGCGCTTAGCCCGTCAAGGCACAACAGGATCCGAGGCATTACCTTTTGTACACGGTGCAAACTTTGGAGCGGTTCGACTTCGAGGTCAGACTTGGGATCCTTCGAGGAAGTGCTCCACCGCAGCGGTAACGATCCCGAGTTCTCTCGAGAACTTCCAAGGGGGTATTATTCTCTTCGAAGTCATCGCCATGAAGTCATAGTATTATTGGATGCGTTGCCTCACGCACAAGTTAATAAGTGTCCGATGACCCACTTATAATCAATTTTTAAACATCCCTAGGTAAACATGACAGCAAATTGGATGTGTGTCTAACGCGACTCAGGTCTTCCTGCCAAAGCTTGAGCTCGAAGGGAGGTCACTACTTAGGTGAGGGGCGTCGTTCCTTTATAAAATCAGACACACGGCAATGCACGAAAATATGAATTTGATTGGGTAAGTAGTCTATTTAGAGACAGGTTCGGCACCGTTCCCGGTTTTGTGGTAATGGTATGAGCATTTTGTCAAGTGGCGGCGTAAATGGACGCCCCGCTCTCTCTACGTCGAAAAACTGACATCGCAAATCGCAAATGCCCAACCACTCTCAACTGCCACAGTGAGGTTGACCGCCGTCGGAGGCACAAATGCCTTATGAATGTCCACTGGCAACCACGACAACATCGGTATAAATGAAACATATCCTGCAAGTCGCTGTTAAGTAGCGCTGATGACGAGAAGGGGTAGATACTCACCGCCAGTTTTACAGATGACGAAGTCTGTTGTTGATCTTATGGCCTCCATTTGATGCTGAACTCCTCCGGAACGACAAAAGACGGACGAAAATCTGATTTTGCAGACGTTGGGTTCAACAAGAAGCGTTCGCAAGGTACGTTGAAATCGCCACGTGCTCGACCTACTGGCTTGTCGGCACCGCCCGGCCAGTCTTCGACGTCCAACATGGACTTCGTCTGGGAGTAAAGCTCTCAAAATGTTGAAGGGAGACTGGCGGTGGTGGGCTCCGTGGCCCGTGCATGGGTGTTCGGTCGCCGTATTTCCGGTAACATCGGCACAAGAATGAATAACTGGCGTGCGGACCGTAACATTGTAAACCACTTCACTGACAACAATGAGATGGGTGACGTAGTTGAGTGGTGAAGTAACAGAAATGGAACGTACCCCGATCATGATTAATGCGAACCCAGAGGCAATTACGTTTGCTTGTGCAGCAACTACGGTCGTCGGCCACACAGGAACCACACGCACAGACGGGACGATAATCCGGACCATCTGGATTAGCCATATCATTAGCAAAAGTGAACGTGGTGCCATGTAGAGTACCTACGAATGGGAAGTCTTGCCTCAGAACGCGAGGAGAGTGAGACGGTCACGCATTCCTCAGAATGTGCCCCCTGCATGCGTACCGCTGTCGTTTGCCAAGATGTACATGAGCACTGAGCTCGAGCCGTAGACGTTTATCGAGATATATGTCGAATGGGTAAGAAAAGAAGAGTGGCGGACTGGCGGTTCGTCTGTTGAATTTATAGGTAGCATATTGTTTAGGGCCGCATTGTGAAGGCTGACATGGCTTTGTGGTCCTGGTCAGCCACCTCTCTGAGGGATTAGGTCTAACGCATACCCGTTATATCGCGATACCAAACCATCCCTGCCAGCTTCTGCAGTAGAAGCGGGGAATTTGAATGAGGTTCGTTGTAACAGTCCAGCCACCATTACGGAAACCTACGAACATACGATTTCTCGCTGAACCCTGGTGACGATCGAATGAATACTGATGAGAACAGGTTCTTTTTCTGGACGAGGGTAGGTATGTCAACGCCGGCATCAAGATGACCCACCCGATGTCGCCAACGACAGTGCTTGTACAGTGAGTGTTCTTATCAGCATGCAGTTTGTTGAAGCACAGTATGTCTTCCGTACAGCGAGCATCGATTACATGATATGGTAGATCATTTCGGCCACATCTGTTCTTCCCTTCTTCTTCAGCATTCGTCACTGCACGGAGACTGGGCTACTCATTCTCTAGTAACCCTGCTCCCCAAAAGAGTCTACCGCCGTATCATATGATAAGGACGGGGACGTGCTGCCTTTATATGGTGAAAGGCATCTTACGAAGTCCATACTCCACACTCCGCATTCCACACCCCACTGCCCAATCCGTCTCGACACGGTCGCCCTACCGCGCTATGGTCCGATGAAATTTCGATTTCCCCCGTGTTCTTACATCATACCGATCAGAGTACGACCGTCGTACGGCGGCTAATCTGTGATTCAGTGGATATCTCGCCAATTTCAGGCGCAGCAGTGTACGTGGCACGCATTCTCGACATGTTTAGTTCTCGCTCGGCGCATAACGCCGTCTGGTTCGAGACTCTCACTTGCTCCTATAAATTGGCCTCGTAAATATATGGTGGTGTTTTTCGGCAGCCTCATTTGATTTCGATTTCCTCTTGTCAGTCTGCTGTGGACGCGCTAGCAGACGAAATCATGATGGAGGAAAAGACTTCTGTTTTTCGAAACTCGGAGCCTAGTTTTTCTATCAGTTTCTCGAGCGCAAGCATTGACCTTGGCTTGCGCCTTCCATACGCTGACACCATCCCGGATGACCAGGCGCTGGACGAAAGAACATCTCGGAGTATTCCTGACAAGTACTACGCCAAATATGCTGGCGAGACCCCTGATGGTGGGCTCAAAGCTTGGTCAGTTATCGTGGCGTATGTGTTTTTGATATAGTGATCTGCTGCGTTCATTTTCTTGATGCGTAAATGCAGGTCGATGCTAACCACATTTTGCACGTAAGTGCACTCCTCCGCATCGATGTTATTGGAGCCTGTTGTATATGGAGTTCACTATCCATTCAGCTTTGGGTATGTCAATACGTGGGGTGTGAGTACCACACTCTGCTAGTCATCTTGCTGGCTTATGGTTTATCGGCGCGCAGATATTTCAAGATTATTACGAGCGGGTGCTTTTATCCGACAGCAGTCCATCTGCTATGTGAGGTCATCTTTTTCATCGATGTCTTCATGGACCACTAACTTTACACGCAGAGCATGGATAGGATCAGTGCAGGCAGGTCCAGATTCACTTGTCAAACCCGTCGTCGCCGCTCACGTCTCTCATCCTATTGCCACTGTAATTCCAGATTACATTCATTTTTCTGCCTGCACTCGTGACAGGAAGACTTTTCGACTTGGGATATTTCAAGATCCCCTATCTCATTGCTAGTTGTGGACTTATAGTGTGCACTTTCCTCACGGCAGAATGCACCCAGTATTGGCAATTTTTTCTCGTACAGGGCCTCTTAACGGGTGTGAGTGACGAAGACTGTCGATAATTAGTTGAATAACCCCTGTTGACAGCTGTTCAGCGGGATCATACTTCCACAAGCCCTTAGTGTTGTGTCTCATTGGTTTTGCAAGAAGAAAGGGATGGCCCTTGGCATCGTGTCCATTGGCACGTCGCTCGGGGGAACAATGTTCCCTATCGCAGGTCAAAACCTTATACCTGTTGTGGGGTGCGTTCTATTTTATCTCACCCCGGATGTGTTTGGTGAATGGGAATTCTCAGGTTCAAGTGGACTGTTCGCGTGTTCGGATTTATGATGCTTGTCGCCCTCGGAATCGCCAGTCTTGTGAATGAGATACAGTTGCTGAGTTGTTTCCGCTGCTGCGCTAACGCGAGAAACACAGGCTATAGATAGACGACTCCCCCCTGTGAACGTCAAAGGTGGACTCTTCAACTTGTCCGCATTTCGAAACCCGGCATATACTATCTATTGCATTGCTGGCGTCGCTTGTCCCCTCGGACTATATACCAGTGAGTCATACCATTGCGTACCTTCACGGTGACTATCTAACTTCGTTTATAGCATTGACCTATTTACCCGTTAGTGCTTCGGCGGTGGGCGTGTCGAACAACAACAACTTTACATTCTACCTCACCGCGATCTCAAACGCAGCGTCCGGGGTGGGTCGGTTGTCTGCTGGCTTGCTCGCAGATTACATCGGTGAGCACTGCGCACTTCTCTGCAATCTAAATCTGACCAAGGGATGCAGGCCCTCTCAATGTCATGATACCACTTACAAGTCTGGTTGGTGTTCTCACCTTCGTTTGGCCATACGCTTCGAGCCAAGGGCAGCTGATTGCCATATCAGTGATATACGGGTACGTGCTCCTACTAGACTACATCACATGATATTCAATGCGTATCCTCGCAGCATCGCTTGTGGGACATATGTCTCCGTCTTCGTCGTCCCACCTATGGCAATGGGCGACGTGGGTGACGTGGGCCGACGCGTAGGGATGTTTTTGTCAATCTCGTCCCTTGGTGCGTTGGCGGGTACGCCGATATCAGGTGCGATCAACGCTCGGACCGGGGGTTTCCAAGGTCCAGGGTTCTACGCCGGTGAGCCTCGCTTCCCCCCTTCCCTATTTATTTCCACAAGGGGCCTATTAATGCTTGGCGATATTTTATTAACTGTTGCAGGTGGCGTGGTCTTATTTTCAGTTTTGCTGCTCCTTGTGGTACGACATCTCCAACTTGGACGGTTATACGGGAAGTGTTAGTGTCCTTTGGGCGCCGCAAGCTCCTGCACCGTGCTCATTGTGGACGACTTGACGTGATATGGTGGTCACATATGGCTGATATACGATATGGTTCGCCGTGCTGACACAGATCTCTTGGGGTTGAACAAGCGTGACTTCCATCGTTGGTGTGCACAAGTGTACATGTACATCGTTTGATGTGTACATACGCTGTTTTGCTGCTCGTCTATGATGAGTCTCTGGCACTGAAAGAACAGAAAAGCCAAACTCTTCGACGATTCCTAACAGTAACCCTCAACGTCTTCTCCATTCGAAGCGGTTCACAAAATCCGGGTCAATACAGTGGACGAGTTATAGAGTGCTGGCGCGCGTCAACCGTAGTTGATGTAAAGAGAAGCTGCTGTTTTACTGCTTGTCTATGATGATTCCATGGCACTGAAAGAACAGAAAAGCCAAACACTTCGGCAATTCCTAACAGTGACCCTCAGCGTCTTCTCCATTCGCGAACCACGCTGAACGAGTTGTATTAGAATTCCGGCGTGCGTCAACCGTAATAACGGACCAGACTGACAGTGGCGAGGATTCTGATCGTCAACCAACATTCTGGAAGCTATTGGAGTAGAGGGCCTCTTGCGGACCTAAACCACTTGCTAAATTTTTGCTTGTAGCTGCGATGCGCGTAAGTATCACTCTGAATCGAAGAACTGGATAAGCCCCTATGACTGACCGGTACTCACGAGGCGCATTTTCCCCTATATGTGTTCAATGGAGGCAGCCGATACGACGCGCAGTAATGAGAGGCAGACAGAGCAGGGAACATCCGGTAGAAGGACGAAGTAGCATGAGAAGCAAAGGACTGGGGCGTGAGTCAGACCTAGAAAAAAGTGGGGCAGCTGACCAGGACCCCATCCGCCACCGCGCCCCAATTCCGTCTCCTTTAAATGCACTCGTACGGTCATACTAGGTTCCCTTACCTCCCGTACGTTCGACATCCATGATGACCTCCGCAAATTTAAGTGCAGACACCTATACACGACTACTTGCGCACGCAGAACCAGAGCGCGGATATCATCTTTGGCTCCCGGAACTCCGTGAAGAATCAGCTTCCAAGTACCCCCACGAAAGTGTTCGCATTGGCGACGTAGGCGTCATCTCACCGGAAGGAAACTTTGATGTATTCTTCAATATATGTCTCCCCCAAAATCACCCACGGCAACATCCACACGGTGTTCCAGAGGGATTTAAGCAAATAAAGCTTTCCAGCAAGGATGTCAAGATCACTAAAGATCCTGATTACCGTGGCTGTATAGCCACCACGGAGAATGGTAAGACTCGTGTCGATGTGACTGGTGCAAATCCCAAGTAAGTGCAGTCATGAATCCACACTCCAAGTTGTCTGCTGGTTATTAACATATGTGCAACTGCAGTCTCGTGACAGTCAAGGGTACCAAGTCCGAGTTAACCGCAGAGGCTGCGCTGTTAATAGTTCCATCGGGAGCGGACAAGTATGACGTTCGTGATCCCTCTGTTTTCCAAATGGAAGCAATTCGGATGAGTAGGACGTGGTATGAATTTGCACTGAACAAATTAGCGCGGACAACCATCGGTCACGACTCACTGTACCTAATCACTGGGCATGACAAGGTGTCCCGTTGGAGGGTCTCGGCCATCAACCTTCCCAACGACATCGGCGTGCAATACACGAAAAATTAAATTCTTGTACTATTCGGTGCAAAGAGGGGCAAGAACCCAACCACACCATTTGTCGATCCATTTCGGGTACGGGGAAAATTTACGCCGTTAGCACGCGAGGATTCAAGATTGCAATCAATAAGAAGATGTTCTGTTCTCTGCTCCAGTCTTCTAATGGAGAAGATCTTCCCACCGACTTCAATCACAAGATTTACCACCCACTAGATGGAATTAACAGCATATTGCTAGACGAAGTACTAACTGATCTGTTCTCTCACACGTCTGTGTTCACATCTTTTGCCAGGCACATCACTGTGATATGGCGGTGACACATGACAATATGTGGAAAGATATAGTCGACGAGGTATGTACCTCACTACTCAACTGACCACTGACGTGATTGCTCTCTGCTCCTCTACCAAGCTCCCATCAATTCGTAGTGGTTCAGAAGAAGTGCAGCAGCTATCACGAGGAAGGGATATGTACTCTTGTCCCATGCTGGTACTCACTTTATGCACCTTGCGCGCTGCCTTACCACTTACCTTGGTTGCCCTAGGATGTGCATATTTCATAAAATGCGGAGATGACCTGATGTATTCCAGCCGCCAAGGTTTCATGGGCCGTGCAATGGCGAAATTGGCCAGCCTGGTCAAGAACAAGCAACCAAAATACATTGATAATGAGGTGTGCCTGACCACGTCTTCCAATGCACTTTGGCTGATTGGACGGGAACAGGAGAAAAGATGAAAAGCTAGTCACAAGTATGTGGACAGTGGGTTTCTGAGTTCGGTATGCAGAATTTCGAGACGAATTTGGTCGGTGGCGGGTGATCAATTTAGGGTAGTAGAGTGACGGGCAGTATATGTATGAATGGGTGACTGACGAAATTACTGAGGACAATGTTTAAGGATTCGTCTGTATTCCAGTAGTCGCAATTTTGGAAGGTCCATAAGATGAAGTGAGCCTGGTCGGTGCTAGTGGTCGTTTTTTCCGCCATCCAGAACACGTCAAACCGCTCATAGATGCCGAGAAATATGCACCCCTTGGTCGGCCATTTACTAGGTGCAGTCAGCGAATTCACACTGAGATAATACACGTCGTAATCGAGCGCAGTAACTTCCCGCCGGATATCCCTGAAGGCCCGAATCCACATGTCTACTGCATACATCCCACTGCGGCCCGTCCACATCGTTTCGCGTGCGAGTTCGCCGTAGCATCAGTAATCGACCGAGCCGAACCAGGAAACGCCCATAAAATGATGGAGGGAAGACTACGCACGCGTATCGACTTTAGGCACGAGGAACAAGGCGACAACCTTTTCGGCTACGAGTGTGGACGATGAGAGGGGGGAGCGTATCGCCAATTCCCATCATTGTTTTCGCAGGTGCAGGGGGCAACGTTGCAGATGATCACGCAGCACGTGTAGAATCGGTCACTGGGACCCCGCCGTCACTCTGCGTCTTGGAGTGGCTGAGGGGACGTGCAAGGTGACTGATTGTCCCTTATCAAAGTCTTTGAGGGTTCGGCCGCTTCTTCGTCAGGAGGTAACTTGACCTGCCAGCGCGCATGCACGTGCACGTATACGTGCCACAGAAAACAAGGGTAGACCAGGGTAGCCCCGACGTCCTCCGAGCTGATAAGTATAGCCGCACCTTTTTCGCGTCCTCACCCTCCTCTCGACCCATCACATTTGTCTCGCGGTTGTTTCCCTGTATTAAGGCACAATCACCAGTAGTAGTAGCGCCGGTAGTAACAACTTTCTTCATTCTTCTCGAGGCACAAATTTGAGCTTGGGTTTGGCGGATGTCCGACTAGACCGTCTTGGTCCCCGTCCTGACGCCGGCGGGGGAGCAGTAGTTGTCACGGTGGGGCCCTTGGCCATCTCCCTCGTTGGTTTCTCGTTGGAAGTGCTAGATCAGCTGAGTGCATGAACCTGGAGTATCGGCCGAAGATCGCGGGTGTAGCTGGTTGTGGACGAAGAAAAAAACAGCCGGACGGCATCGTGAGCCGAAGAGCCAAACCCGGTAGTTCACGGGGGGAGGGCGAGCCAAAGAAGTGGCTGAGCGGCTGGTCTGTGCGTAGGCGCTTGGTTGGGAAAGGCGCCAAGGGGTCCGTTCTGCCAGCTTTACCCTATATGGATGCAACGCGTTGAATGACCATGGACACCAACTGTTAGTCGCAACACCTCTCTCTGCGATATTGCCGCGAGAAAATGCTGCGCATTTGATAGTATTGGGAGAGTACAAGAGGGAACGACCCGCCTAACGGAGCTTAAGAAAACAAATGACAGGTGAGACACGATAGGATTTGGCGAGAATATGGTTTATGGTACCCTGCGCAGCGAACTCGGATATAACCATGATAAGGGCTGCCGTCACAGGGCTCTGACAGGAGTTCAAGACAGAAAGCATCAGCTCCAACGGGAAGCGTTTCCTATGCCGGTAGGAAAAATTTCGAAGCAACTAGTACATACCAAGCTGCTACCGACATGCTCATTAATATTCTGTCATAGCGAGGTACACATATTGACTTTGTCAACGTTTTCAACGTTCAACTTCTTGTAGCCAGCTTGGCTCAAGCTTGGCCACTTGCTGTGTGTCCAGGTACACAAACCGCCATCGTGATAGGGACCATCAGCTCATATCCATTATCTACAGCATACCAGAATAAAGACCCTATTCAGAAGGACGTATGTTTTCTGTGAAACCATCTAAATAATTCAACCCCTGACACGGACAGATGCTTGCTTCAACGCTTTTTTCTTCAACCCACTAGCCATGAGTGATCAATTCGACTTCAAGGTCAGGGTGGGGATGATCATCATGGGCGTGGCGTCTGCTGCCTCAGCGCTTGCCGCTGCTAGTCTGTTGCTGTACATTGCTGTGAGTTTTTTTCCTTTCACCGCCGCCCGGAAGGCTGATTTCCACTTCAGTATAGCGCCGTTACCATCAAGCCAAATGCCTCGCGCAGGTGGTCCACCGAAACGCATATACATTATTATTTCCTCAATTTGATGATTTCTGACCTTATCCTGGCTATCGGTACATACTCTTTTGTCCTTCCTTCTGACGACTGACGATGTACAGGTGAATTGTTCAACGTCAAGTGGATCGTAGAAGCGGTGAGCCTTCAACGCGTTTATGGTGCTTCGTGTTCACTCATCTAGCCGCCAGAGGGTGTACCCCGGTACTGTTTGCACCATTCAAGGTATTTCCGCTTTCAATTTACTGGACGCTCGTCTTTCATTGCATGCAGGTCTCTTCATGCACGTGGGTGATCTTGGAGTTTCTCTTAGGTGTGTATCAAAATCGAAAAGTCATCCTCTTCATATGCCTATGGGCTTTCTTTTGCCAGTACAATGGTACGCCAGTTACATAAGCCACCGCGGTAGTGAAATGATGATTGGGGAAAGGCTATTGCCTTGCACATACTGCAAGTGTTGGTGCTAAGGTGGAGGTCTCCACCAAAATTTGCGCTCCTCATATTGGCAATACTCTGGCTGGTTATCCTTGTTCTGGTAGTCGTGCCAAACGTGGCTCAACAGAACATTTACGGTCCCACTGGTCACTGTAAGTCTTTATAGTCCAATTTTACCTTTGATGACCTGAACCGATACTGCTGTTCAGGGTGCTGGATCGACAGAAGTACTATGGAGAAGATTGCCCTCGAGTATATATGGACCTGGCTAGCTGCTGTATTGAACATCATCTCATACCTGCTTCTTGCCCTTCTTATCAAGCGACTCGTTCGTGTGGATAGTCACGGATTCCGCTGGAGGGGAATTCAGGAGAAGGGAACAATTCCGTATGGAACGGGGACATCTACAGAGAGTGTCAGTGCAACTCAAATGTTGTTGTAAGTGGCTTCTGGTCTACGGTCGGTGGCTTCCGGACGAATCACTTTACAGTTACCCCCTATTGTACATTGTAGTGGTGAGTGGTCTTCAGTGTCATTGATATGATTGTACTAAACGACCGATAGCTATTGCCTACAGCAGCGACTCGTCTTTCCCAATTCGGGGGTCACGACGTTCCGTTTGCAGTGACAACTTTCGCAGCGACATTGTTCGCATTATCCGGTCTGTTCAACACGATCTTGTATGCTTTTACGCGTCCAAGGTTGATGCCGAGCAGACCTTCGCACGATCCACAGTCAACGCGTGTTACTACTGCACCGATGGTGTTCAATCGACCCCCGCAGGGTTGCATGGCGCAGGACGACAGCTTTGATACTGAGACTGGCTTAGTCCAGGTTCCATGATACGCCTGATTTTCTACAGTCTCCAAGGTCTGCACGAATATAGCTTATTATCATGTCGATGTAATATTGGTGAACGGATTGACTGCGCATTAGAGTGTGTACGATTTACCGTAAACAAGCTATGATCAGTTTGTATTTAATGGATTAACTTGATGGATGTCACCTTTCAAATGGCGAGTTGCACATTGTAAATGGAGCACCTGTCCTGATTAGACGTCCCTAGGTGCGTATCATTAGACGCTAACAGAACTTGTACCCAATACGGCTCTATACAACTCGTCTTCCGGCCTAACGGACTCGATGCAGGCTCCCTGAATGAGCACCATTCCTTTATAAAATGATAATGTCGGACGCACCGGCTCACGAAAATAACTCGTGAATTTGATTGGGCAATGCTTGTAGGAGTGACGCACGATTCCATTTCTCAGCGTGAACTACAGAATGCTACGTAACGGCGACACAGATGGAAGAGCTAGGTAGTAAAACATGCGTTCTACGAGATGGCACACCTCAGCATAGGACATGCTGTTGTTGTCAGCCGCGCAGGAAACATACACACAAATGGGGTAACGATGTTGATGAAGAGCCTGTTTCAGAGAAGTAGACGCGGAATCGTGTGGAGTACTTACAAGCGCAGTTCTGACGGTGGAGTGCCATGCGGGTCAGGCGGTCACAGACGTGCGATTTTCCTCGACACGAGCAAAATTATAGCGTGACGCCATCGTTAACCAATATGCACACGAGTACTGAGCTCAGTCGTAACGAAGATAGTCGTAGATGTCCATTGAGATATATCTCAAATAGGTAAGAAGAAGAAGGGTGGCGGACTAGTTGAGTTTATAGGCAACATTTATTTAGTGGTCGTAGTCAGCCACCTTTCTGAGGGAGGTCTGCCGCGCACCTGTTATCGCGATGCTGAATCGTCCCAAGCTTCTGTAGGGGCAAGGAATTTCAATGTCGCGGCTCGTCTAGCACGCATGCATTCAGAAACAAGGCTAGGCTGATGCGAGTCGATAGTAGCCAAGCCACTAAATTATGGAAACCTACGAGCATGTGATTCATCAATGAAGGTAACAATCGAATCCTTCCCAGTCTGTCAGTTGCTTGGGCAATTATATACCGCGGGTCACTAGGTCGCAATGGATGAATACAAATTTCCGGACAAAGTTAGGTTCAACGCCGGCTTAAAGTTAGTCCAGTCGACGTCGCCAAATAGTCTAGCCCGTTGCGGACCGTCGCGTCCCAGACTGTAAAGTGCGGAGTACAAACAGAACATTTGACTTTTCCAGTACGAGCGTCGGTCCCCACACTCGTTTTGGCGAAGTCCACCGTCGTATCGTGTGAAGAGAACAGAGAGTATGGGAAACCAGACTCCCAATCGTGTTCCCGAACGGGCAAGTGCTCTTGGCATTCCGCCGAGGTGCAGCAGAAGGCACACTGTTACAACAAGTCGGAAGGAGGACACCAGACACCACGTTTACGCAGAAGGTGAAGTCCGCGGTGCGGAAGTTTGTCATGCAGTAAGTCGGTGGTACGAAGAGGTCCGTCATACAGTAAAACCAATTGAATGTACAGAAGTGCTGAAGTACGTCACGGCAACAAGTTTTTCTCTCGCTGCTCCGCGGGTCCGCGCTCGTCCTCTGCACGGTATTTCTGGCTTCGTTATCGACCCGAGTCGCTCCGTCGCACCTCTGTAGCCAGCAAACATCAGAGGCAATCCAGAGGGATTTCAACATTCCCAAGATTTCTTGGGATGCCGCGATGCCGTGCGCCATCTTGTTTGATTTCCAATGGTGATGCGAACCAAGAGTGTCTATAACTCGCCCCTGCATCCAGGACCGTTTCGTAAGGTTCCCGAATCGCTCGGTCGAGACAATTCAAGGTGGCTACATGGCAACCCGTGTATACGGTGCGTCCTCCTGATTCGAGTTCTACTGACATTTTGTAGGTTCGACTTGAGTTACTTCTGCACCACGAACTTCGTGACGGACTTCTGTGATTCATACTTCCCGCATGACGAACATCTGCACACACGTGGTGTCCTCCTTGCGACCTAAGTACTGACATCCGAAATTCTTGTTGCACTTCGACGTTACTCGGGAGATGTGCCACTTGATACACTACATCACTTCTAAAAGAGGCATCCTGCCGAGTCCGTTGGCCAACCTATAGGCTATCGAAGTGACTGCGTGTCGCCAACCCGTCTCGATACGATGCCCTTCTCACGATAGGAATACCTTTCTCGTTCCTATAAATTCGCCTGGTAAAGACATGGCAGTGCCCGCTGCAGCCTGATTTGCTTTCCTCTCATCAGTCTGCTGTTGGACACGCCAGGGGACGAAATCATGTCAAAGGTTTCTCCAAACGCTGAACTTGGCTTGACCCCTCCAGAGCCTGATACCATTCGAGACGATCAGACGCTAGACGAAAAACCATGTCGGGATGCTCCTGATAAGTACGTCAAGTGTGCTAGCGAGGCCCCTGATGGTGGGCTCAAAGCTTGGTCAGTTATTGTGGCGTATGTGTTTTGTTGGTGCTTTGTCGTCGTCGCCGCCTTGATGCATAAATGTAGGTCGATGCTGACCACGTTTTGCACGTAAGCGTACCCCACGTGATTGTAGTCGGCGTCTGTTGCGTTTGGAGCTCACCATCCGTTCAGCTTTGGGTATGCCAATACTTGGGGTGTGAGTGCTACTCTCTGTCAGACATCTGTTGGCTTATTGCTGATCGGCTCGCAGATATTTCAAGATTATTACGAGCAGGTTCTTCTATCCGACAAAAGTCCATCTGTTATGTGAGGTCGTCCCCTTCATCGATGTGTTCATTGCGCCAACTAACTTTACACCTAGAGCATGGATAGGATCAGTTCAGGCAGGTCCCGATTCACTTTTCAACTCAACGTCGCCGCCGCTCACGTCTCTCATTCTATCGCGGTAACTCCAGATCACATTCATCTTTCTGCCTGCACTTGCGACAGGAAGACTTTTTGACTTAGGATACTTCAAGATTCCCTATGTCACCAGCAGTTGCGGACTTGTAGTGTGCACGTTCCTCACAGCAGAATGCAAGCAGTATTGGCAGTTTTTCCTCTTACAGGGCCTTTTCACGGGTGTGAGTGCTTAATGCTATCGATAATTAGCTACATAACCCCCGTTGACAGTTGTTCAGCGGGATCATCCTCCCGCAAGCCCTTAGCGTCGTATCTCATTGGTTTTGCAAGAAGAAAGGGATGGCCCTTGGCATCGTATCTGCTGGCTCGTCGCTCGGGGGCACACTGTTCCCCGTCGCAGGTCAAAACCTTATACCTCTTATAGGGTGTGTTCTGTTTTGTCTCGCGCCCAATAGGATAGCCCAATGGAATTTCCCAGGTTCAAGTGGACTGTTCGCGTGTTCGGGTTTATGATGCTTGTCTCCCTTGGAATTGCCGGTCTTGTGAATGAGATGCACTTACTGAGTTGTTTCTGTTGCTGCGCTGACGCGGGAAACATAGGCTATAGATAGACGACTGCCCCCTGTGAACGTCAAAGGTGGACTTCTCAACCTGTCCGCATTTCGAAACCCGGCATATACTATCTATTGCATTGCTGGCGTCGCTTGTCCCCTCGGACTATATACCAGTGAGTCATACCATTGCCTACCTTCACGGTGACTAGCTAATGTCGTTTACAGCATTAACTTATTTACCCGTCAGTGCTACGGCGGTGGGCGTGTCGAACAACTTTCCATTCTACCTCACCGCAATCGCGAACGCGGCATCCGGGTTCGGCCGGTTGTCTGCCGGCTTCCTCGCCGACCGCATTGGTAAACACTGCGCACTTCCCCCCAATCTAAATCTCACCATAGAATGTAGGTCCACTCAATGTCATGATACCATTTACAAGTCTGGTTGGAATTCTCACCTTCGTTTGGCCCTACGCTTCGAACCAAGGGCAGCTTATTGCGATATCGGTGATATACGGGTATGCGCTGCCGCTAGAATACATCACATGATATTTAATGCATACCCCCCGCAGCATTGCCTGTGGGACTTATGTCTCCCTCTTCGTTGCTCCCCCTATGGCAATGGGCGATGTAGGAGACGTGGGCCGACGCGTAGGGATGTTTTTGTCAATTTCGTCACTTGGTACGTTGGCGGGTACGCCGATATCAGGCGCAATCAACGCTCGGACAGGGGGTTTCCAAGGTCCAGGGTTCTACGCCGGTGAGTTCTGCTTCCCCGCTGTCTCTCCCCTTTCAGTTTTTTTTGGAGGCATACCAATGCTCAGTGATGTTTCGTTAACTCTTCCAGGTGGTGTTGTCTTACTTTCAGTCTTGCTGCTCTTTGTGGTACGACTTCTCCAACTTGGACGGTTATACGGCAAGTGTTAGGGTCTTACCGGCGCCACAAGCTCCTGCGTCATGCTCATAGTGGACAACCGGATATACATAATATGACGGTCATAGATGGCTAGAGAACGACATGGATCGTCATGCTGGCACAGATGTGGAACAAGAATGAATACATACGCTGGCGTACACAGGGCCCCTGGACGTCGGGCTACAGCTTGTCTAAGATGACTTATGATGGCTTTGAGGGAGACGCTTGCGAGACGTTGACGTAAAACCGTGACGATATTGGTCGGTGCGGTACACGAAGAGCGGGTGTAGGAGCATAAGAATCCACAGCCTGTACGGCTCGAAGCGAGGGTCAACCTTTCCACCGAGATGATCATGAACTTGGTTCAGATAGCACCAACGCAAATCAGTATCCATAACGTCAACCTACTTATCCGCGACACTCCCCTCCAGGGCCGATGGTCGATCCCAACCATAGACAAAGGTGTGTGAACGGAGAGGGTTGCCAACACAGCATTCAACATGGGTAGTCGATGATAATTATGCTAACTTACAACAGGGCTTTAGAAGCAGAGCAAGTGGTACCTAGACTTGTACAGCCTCTTCTCGGATTAGTCCTTCATTTGGAAGGTAGCCCGACGAGACTTCCGATTCGCCGAAGACTCAATCTTAACCTTGCCCTTAACCATGACCCCAAGAGTTACTGGGTTGCCGTCTCAAGTAATTGAAAACACTGGCTGAGAGGGTGAACCCATCTGAGACCATGGGTTGAGATTTATGACCAGAGTCAATCTGGACAGCTCGCGGATGCATGTCAGAGAGTACTTGATTATGGGACAGCAGTACTTGCCTGGCCCTTCTGATAGACAAGGGCTGAGCGACAGGGCTTAACGACAACGAAATGGAACTAGAATGCGATTACTGGAGGAACGAGCTGTAGGTACGAGAGAGCAGACGGGTGAGAGCAACTGCACCCCTACTCCAGAGGAGTGCAAGACGAATGTCGCATAAGTTGTTGGTTTGTGAGGATCACGCGTCATTCGAAAGCCAGGAATTAATGTGCAGACGAGGTAACCAGGCATGGAAGAGGTTCCGCTGCGCGAGAACTATCCATTCCTGCCAGCTTTTTACCAGGATGTACATACATGAGGACCGTGTCGGTCCGGATGAACGCAGACATTCGTCGCAATATAGCAGCTCGAAGTCAGAGGAAGTGGACACTGGCGGCCCCGCTGTTGAATTTACAGGCTGGAGGCTCCGGAAGGGGCTGACACAGTTCTGCGGCCGTAATAAGGATAGGCAAGGTGACAGTGGCAAGGATTCTGTCCGTTAGCGAACGTTCTGGACAGGAACACAGAAAACCTTGTCGACATCAGCCGCTTACCACTACATAAATTGCGGTGTGTAAGTTGGATGTGTACTCAGCCGGTAAGTATTAGTTCTTGAATCACGAGCCCCGGGGGGAGCTAACTAGCTTTTAGAAAGCACATTTCCCACCTACAGTGTGCTCAATGGACGTAGCCAACACGGTCCAGAAACTTAGTAGGCCTTGTTATGCTACTTATGAAAAGTCTACAGATTCTTCTTCGTCGGTTTTTCGCTGGAAGCTCGAGTTTATCTAAGCGCCCGAGTCTTGGGTATAAATCGTGGATATAGCTGGCTGGAGGGGTGGGAGGGGGGAGGCCAGAGGCGCTGAACCGGAGATCCAAACCCAGTTACTCCACTAGGAGAGGGGAAACCAAAGACACAAGGGTGCCTGGGGGGTGGTTCGTGCGCAGGCGTTTAGATAGCCAAGTCCAAGGCACGACAGGGTCCGTTCTTCTAGCCTTACCCTAGATGGATGAAACGCATCAAATGACCGTGGACACCAACTGCTAGTCACATCACTTCCCTTCTATACTGCCAAGAAAAAAAACGTGAAGCCTCTGATATTTGGAGAGTACAAGGGGATGTGCCTCACCTAACGGAGAGAGTGGATGAAAGGTGAGACACGATAGGATCTGGTGAGAAGGTAACCTGCATAGAAAATTGGATATAATCTTGATAAAGGCGGCTGTAGTGGAGCTCTGGCGGGAGGATCTAACTTTAGATCTGATTGGAAGCGTTGCTCATCTCAGTTGGAATGTGAGTACATACCCAGCCACTACAATATACTCATTCATAGCGAAGTGCAGAGGCCACGTTGTTGACGTTCGCGTTCAACGTTTCCACGTTTCTAGAACAGCGTGACAACCACTAGTGTCACACAGTCACACACAGGGAAGACTTACACGTGCAAAACCGCTCTAACTAGTGCATATACTACTGTAAAAGTGTCAGAAACCGATTTATTTGAACAACTATGTTCCAATGAAAATATATTTGTGCTCTAAAACACAGTATCTTGAAGTGCAGTGGTCTCCTTACAGCAGGGACCTTGCTATGTCACGGGTAGGTCACGGGGCGTCATACGTGACAGTATCGGACCGAAAAGAAATGACTTGGCAAGGTCGCATTATGATACATAGCAGCCGTACTTAATTTGGTGATAATCATTGTTCTATGGCCAGCTCCCACCTGCTGTGCACCCCTCAGTACACTCGCCACCGCCATGATCGGAAGATAGACCGTAATCAGAGATACGTATAGTCCTGCCATGTATGATGAAGTCCATTTACTTAAATATTCCAACCCTCGCCATGGGACAGATGCCTCTTGCCTGAACACACTAGCCATGAGCGATCCATTCGATTCCGAGGTCAAGGTGTGGATGATCGTCATGGTAGTGGCGTCCTGCTACATCAGCGCTTGCCGCCGGTGGTCTGTTGCTGTACATTGCTGTGGGTCTTTTCCCTTCAGCACCCCCCCCCCCAGCGGACTGATTTTCGCGTCAGTATAGCACCGTTACTATCAAGCCAAATTCCTCGCGCAGGTGGTCCACCGAAACACATGTACACTATTACTTCCTCAATCTAATGATTTCTGACCTTATCGCATCGTTGGGTCAGTACATAGCATTTCGTGCTTCCTGTCAATGACTGACGATGTACAGGTGAATTGCTCACCATCAAGTGGATCGTAGAAGCCGTGCGCCTTCAACGCGTTTGTGATTCCTCGTGCTTGCTCATCTAATCGCCAGAGGGTGTATCCCGGTACTTTTTGCACCCTTCAAGGTATTTCCGCTTTCAATTTACTGGACGCTCGTCTTTCATTGCATGCAGGTCTCTTCATGCACGTGGGTGATCTTGGAGTTTCTCTTAGGTGTGTATCAAAATCGAAAAGTCATCCTCTTCATATGCCTATGGGCTTTCTTTTGCCAGTACAATGGTACGCCAGCCACATAAACTGTTGTGGTAATGAAATAATGATTGGGGATAGGCCATTGCCTTGCACATACTGCGAGTTTTGGTGCTAGAGTGGATATTTCCGCCAAAATTTGCGCCCCGTATACTGGCAATAATTTGGCTGGTCATCGCTATTCTGGTGGTCGTGCCGAACGTGGTTCAAAACAACATCTACGGTCCCACTAGCCATTGTAAGTCTTTATAGTTCAATTTTATCTTTTGATAACCTGAACCGACACTGTTGTTCAGGGTGCTGGATTGACAGAGGTATCATGCAGCAGATTGGCCTCGACTACATGTGGATGTGGCTGACTGCTGTGTTGAACATCATCTCATACCTGCTCCTTGCACTTGTTATCAAGCGGCTTGTTGTTGTGGATCGTTACAAATTGCACTGGGGGGGAAAGCAAGAGAGGGGAATAATTGCTCATGGAGGGGGGACATCTCCAGAGAGTGTCAGAGCAACTCAAATGCTCTTGTAGGTGGCTCCTATTCTACGAATTGGTGGCTTCTGAACGAATCATTTTACAGTTACCCCCTCTTGTACGTCGTACTGGTCAGTGGTCTTCAGTGTCATCAATATGATTGCGCTAAAGGAGTGATAGGTGCTGCCCTTGTCAGCGGCTCGTTTTTCCCAAATCAGGGGCGACAACGTTCCGTTTTCAGTGACAGCTTCCTCAGCCGCATTGTTCGCATTATCCGGTCTGTTCAACACGATCTTGTATGCTTTTACTCGTCCAAGGTTGATTCCAGGCAGAGCTTCGCGCAACCTAGAGGGCGCGCATGTTACTATTGCAGGGATGGCGCACGATCGTTTTCGACATGGTTACGTGGCTGGCGATGACAGCTTCGTTATGACGACTGGCTTGAACACGGTTCCATGACACACTAGATTTTCTCCAGCTTTCAGGGTCTGCGTGACATATTAGGATGTGTACTATTTACTGTAAACGTGTAATGCTAGGATGCAACAGCATGATTGCATTCTCGATAGAATAGATTGGGAAGACCAATGACTCCCTTAATGTAAATGGAGCGGTGCACCATCGCGAACATGTGGAAATGCAGCAGGAGAAGTGAGCTGAAATGCACAGTAGTCATGAGACCGCAGGGTGCATATGCGAAGTGAGGGAGGTGCACTTAGAATGTTGAGCCGGCGACGGACGTAGTGAGGTCTTAACTTTCTGGACAAGTAAGAACGGTCCTGGACATTACTTGTTCACCCTTGGATGCTGACTCAAACATGCCCACACTGGCCCAGAGGTCCCCCCACTGACCATCGCGTCCAGGATTGCTATTCCATACTCATTTAGACCTCGCCGTGTTTCCAGGTGCCAGATAATACGGTCACCTCCCCGTGTGTAGACATATGCCTCTGTCAATTGAGAAGGGCCGTGAGACAGAGTGTACGCGTAGTCGACGGATAGCGCTCACTTTGACATTCAGCAGGGAACGAAAGTCAGCGTGCAGCACTAATGAAGAGCACGAACGGTTGACTTTTCCGGGATGCACATGTACCAGCAGGTTCACATGTCACAGGGAAAGTCTATCGTCACAGAATCAAAGAGAAAGAAATCTTCGTGGAAGACACGCGTCAATCCCAGGAACAGCAACCAACCGCTACGCGGCATTTCAGCGCTTCAGCTTCTATTGTTGTTTTCGTCGTGTGAGAAAGCCCACGACCACTACGTAATGTTCTGTGGGCAATACGCATAGTGAATCGCTACCGAACCATCGGGGTCGACCACATCCTCCGACCTGATCTTGCCGCTAGCTCACCTCCTCCACCTTGCAGTAACTGCTCGCATTGAATTATCAAGAACACAAACATGAATATGATTGGGTAAGTCATCAGTACCAGGAACGGTGACACGGTACGCTAGGATCGTCGCAAACCGCCTATTCGTAGCACTCGCCCTTGGGATCGGTATTCCCTACAACACGACTTGAAGAAGTCAACACGAATAGTCGATGACAGCTGTGCTAGCTTACCACGAGGCCAGAGAGTACGCTTATGTACTTTCTGCCAGCGCTTTCTCGGGCTTAGCATTCGCGTGGTCCGACAAGTCTCCTGATTCGCCGTGCCGATGGATTCGTCACAATCTTGCCCTAGGATATGACGTATTTCAGGACTTCCCCAGCGATGTGGGTTTTCCGTCCTAAGTGGATAGAAGTACAATACCTGAGAGTGTGAATGCGTCCGAGATCATGGGTTAAGATCGGACGTTGTTCCTAATTGGCGAGCTGGGATACTGTATGCAGGAGATGGCAAGTGGGAATGAGGTTCCACGAGTCACCACAGTGGTCGAAGGGGTCAGTCGAAGGACAACAATGCGGTGGCGGAGAGTTGATGGAACGTCAGATATCGAATGAGAGCTGTGATATCATGTACTGACCCGTGGTTCCATTCCAAAAACCTGCATCGCCACTCTGTGGGCAAAACGTGCCATTGTACACGTGTGGAGACGCTCTGCAAAGAACTAGAGCAGAGCATGTACGGAACTAAGTCGTGTGTAACGGGAGACGTGAGTGGTCCACCTTTTGCGAGAAGGCTACGAAGTTGCAGAGGAACTGAGGAGAACAAAAACTCAGTACCTAGTCTTTGGGGGAAGTCCGTTGCTTCTATCATCCACCCACGCATATTCAATGCCTCTCATAAGGCCCTTCTGTCGTTGCCGGACGGAGTACCAGAAGTACATGAAGATACTACATCGCAGCCGGCGGGCACAGCAAATGTACCAGCAGGAAACCGGCCACTCATCGCTCCCATTAGGTCTGAGATCAGAGCGGTAGGGAAGAACGAAGTGGCTAAATTGGACGGATGTCTTACATAATCAGTACTCTCTGTACGCAATGTTGACGCAATGACAATATGTTTCGACATCACTTACGATTCGATTAGAAGGTCTCGGGTACGCCGTCATAATATCGCGACACCGCATCGTGCAAGTTCATCGCAAGTTCGTTGTCTTCGCGAGCCAAGTCGACGTTCCCGTAGTTATTGAGACATTCCTTGAATGGTCGTTCGTTCGACTGTCCAGGTCTTCATGGCCACATCCACATCACCACTACTAGGTACACGTGCGGTGCCTATGCCAGTCGGGGGGCTGGATTGGATGGATTGGGAATGCACGTCGGCGCATACTTGATGGTAGTGGTGGGGTGGAGTTTGGCATGACTCTTCTGAAGTGAGTAACGGGACTTAACGATGCAGCAAGGAAGTACAACGTACCTGCAGCGGGAACGTGCTGCAATTCCGTGAGGAATGCGAGAACGGGGGGTGAGACCAAATGGCCCAACAGAAACAGTCAGATAACTTGCCAGACGAGGACTACGAGTCGACGACTTCACTCACTTCCTCTTCTAAGAGTAGCGCGCGATGCGTTCGCAGACGAGGCTCACATGGCACTTGAAACTCCAGGGGTAATGTTCAGGCGAGACGAATTGCGACTCATCCCAACCTGCCCGCATCTTACCAGGATGTACATGAGGACTGCGCGAGTCATAGCGAAGGGTGGACAGATGCGGACGTTCATCGCAATATAGTAGATCGAAGTCGTCAGAGAAAAAGGATGTGTGGGGGGACTGGCGGGCTCTGCCCTTGAATTTATAGGTTAGCGATCCGCAGCAGGAGGCTGACATGTACAGAGAGCACGTTTCCTGCCTATATGCGTGCTGAATGGACCGTGGGCGTGGCCAACACGGTCCAGCAACTGACGTTCGAACGGTGGGATCACGGCAAGCACAAATGTGATTATTAGGAGCTGTACTACATAGTTCGGACAGAGAATCCCGCCAGTGCACAGCGGGCGTGTTCGACAGCGCTAAGTACTCGGGAATAGGGGTTTGACACCGTTGTACGTGGAGTGTCCCATCGCTTGTACTGACAATTGACTTTGCCACGGAGTACATGATCCTCATGTACATCCTGGCAAAGTCTGCTGTTGTGTTCATCGCCGATGGTATGAGAAGGAAGGAAAGGGGCGCTGCTCTTCGCGGAAGAGACGCGTCCCTCTTTTATATACCGCGTCACTTCTAAGAAAGGCAATCCAGTCTTCCCCCGGTGCAACGGTACTCGCGCGACGAAAGGTTTGTAACAATCTCATGTAATCTGCAGATGCCATCCCAAACCAAAGAAGACTGACCTGATCTTTTCTTCTGAATGGACTAAAATGGGACCGGGAATGGCGGATAAACAGGCGGACTAGTAGCAAGTACTGGGACAACCATAATCGGAACTGGGGAGGCCGCTGGCGCGTCGGGAAGGAAATGACTGGAGCGCGGGCATGCGACGCGGATGCCGCCGCTTTCCAAATGGCCGGCCTGGCGGAACTAACCACATATCCCTATCTAATTTCCTTTAAATCCACGTCGTGCCGATCGAGTGAATGTAGGTTTTCTCGCCTCTCATCCGACATCGGCGATGCGTCCCACCGATTCACTCCAGGATACCTACGCTCGACTACTAGTCCACGCAGAACCAGAGCGAGGATATCCCCTTTGGTTCCCAGAACCTAGCATACAATTGCCCCCCAAGTTCCTCCATGGAGGCATTCGAATCGGAGATGTGGGTATTGTCACGGCGCATGGAAACTTTGACGTGTTCTTCAACATATGTCTTCCTGAATTCCACCCTCTCCATCATCGTTACGGTGTTCCAGAGGGATTTAAACAGATAAAGCTTTCCGAGAAAGACGTCGAGATCATCGAAGATCCCAATTACCGTGGGTGTATAGTCACTGCGAAGTGTTCTCCGAAGAAAGGTGTAAATGTGAAGGTGACTGGCGCCAATCCCAAGTCAGTACTGTAATTATCGAATTCGTGTTAGTCTGCTGGTTTTGACATGTAACTACAGTGTCGTGGCAGTCAAAGGCTCCAAGTCCGAATCGACCGCAAAGGCTGCATTCCTAGCACTTCCAGGTGGTGCGGACAAACACGACCTTCGCGACACCTCCATTTTCCAAAGGGAAGCCATGCGGATGGGTAAGAAGTGGTACGAGTTTGCACTGAACAAATTAGGACGAACCACGATGAGTTGCGACTCACTCTACCTCGTCACCGGGTATCACAAGGCATCCACTTGGACACTTGCTGCCTTCCATAATCCCGCTGCAATCTGGAATGTCGACGTGCGGTACACGGAAAATGGTGATGTACTTGTGACCGACCCGTGGCACAAGACGAGCATCAGCCCTTGTCCGACCAGTTTCGATGAGAAAAAAAATCACACTGTTACTATGCGGGGATTCAAGATCGCGATCACAGAGAAGACATTTCGTTCTTTGCTCCCGTCTGGCAAAGGAAAGGGCCTCTTTTCTGTCATCGCTCCATTGCTCCACCACGGACCACCTACTCACAAGATTTACCATCCACTCGATGGGATTAACAGCATACTGCTGGGCCAGGTACGAGGTGATCTCTCTGTTCATTTGCTTCGCTTACGTTTCCCATGCCAGGAAAAGCACTGTGACATGGTGGTGACGCACGACAGCGTGTGGAAAGACATAGTCAAAGAGGTATGTACACATAGCTTACCGGGGTAATTACTTCCTACTCACCTACCTAGCTCCCATCGAATCGCGGTCATTTCGTACCAGCCATCAAGAAGAATGGTTATGTGCTCTCGTCCCATGCTGGTACTCGCCGTATGCACCCCACGCATTGCCTTACACTCACTTTAATTGTATCAGGATGTGCATACCTTAGGAAGCGTGGAGCAGACGGGCCAGTGCAATCCAATTGTTCAGGTCTCGCTCTTTCAATCAGAGTGAACCGCGCAGTGGCGAAATTAGCTGTCCGGGTCAAGAAACAGGAGAAAAAGCGAGTTGACACCAATAAGGAAGTACGTGTCCAATAACATCTTCCAGTGCGCTTCAGCTAATTGAACGGCGAACAGAAGAAAAAGGAAAAGGCTACTCGTAGAAACGTAAAGAGGAAGTGAAAAACGGATAGCCGACGGCCCAGCGGACAAGTAAAGTTACTTGCTACATAACTAGGCATATAGAGACAATAGCGCCAATGGACGATGATATTAATCTTACAAGAGTACTCAAGGACTCACCAATCGATATTTGATAGTGCACGCTTCGTAATTCAAGAAACACCCTCGACGTAGGAATTCTGTACCGACCTAGTCAATTGGCAGAGGGGACGCGGGGTAGCACAAATTACATAGACATCACCTATGCGTGCACCTAGATACTTTCTGGGATACCTCCCGTACTCTCGAGTCATGATGGCATTGGTGAAGCAACAAACGCTCAAAAAAAACGCCGTCCACGCCCCGATCCTCGGTTGACGGGAGCGCTTCCAATTTTGGACTTTTCGCAACGAGGGCTTCGATGAATTCGAGAATGCGTAAGGTTACATTCAGTGGCTAAATGGTCGGTGCGATTAGCAGGCGTTTGGCAAAAGCGGCGGGGCGCCATGGGACAACTATGCCTCCAGATGAACAGGGAGAGAAAACGACGTTTAGAGCCTTGAAGAGTGTGTCGACAACACTTTCTGCCTTCGGTACTCGGAAATTCGAAGCAGATTTGGTCAGTGGAGGCGCATCGATCTGTGGTAATAAGGTGACGGGGAGTATAAAGGCATATAAATGATTGACGAAGCCGCTGAGATCGATGTTCAACACTGCCCCGTATGCCAATGTTAAAGTCATAGGTAGGAAGAATTGTAAGATAACACGAACCCTGACCCAAAAGGAGCTCGAAAGCGACCACAATACAAAGTAGTCGATTCAGGATATCTGCCGTGTTGTCTGAGGTGTCCCAGTCCAGAGACTCAGAGTCGTCTTCGCCTGTGGATTATCGGACGATGAGTTCTCGCAGAACCTGCATTGGGTCTCCTGAAGAAGTCAACGTTGACAAGATGCGAGAACTTGGAAATGCCCCTTAGGGCAGCAGAAAGTAGAGCTAACAAACTGCCTGGCAAGCCTCAACTTTTTCCCACCGTCGGCTTCTTCGAACTGCCACCTGTCCCGCTTTGTAATTACCGTAGACAGCTGGTCCGTATTCAAAACGACCTTATTTTTCCTCTGACGCTTGGGCTAGCTGAGTGATCAGACCAGGTGATTTGACTTTCCCTTGCTGAAGTCTACTACAGGTGCGGCGGTCTCGCCTTCTGGAGGAGGTAACTTGGCCTGCGAACTCCACTCCGTGCACATACACGTATGTACCTGTACACGCCCCACCTAAAAGCGAGTTGACCAGGTCAATGCAGACATCCTCACAACTAATAACCGCACGTATTTCGCACCTTCACCCTCCTTTCAACTTGCCGCTCCTCTTTGTGTCGCTCTACATCCGCATCACCTTCCTCATCCGCGTCCATCACATCTGTCCCGCGCTTGTTTCATGCTTCTGAGGTACGACCACCAGTAGTAGGAGTGGGACCGGTGGTAGTAGCTTTCCTCGTTCTTCTCGAGGCGCAAATTTGGGTTTAGGTTCGGCGGATGTCCAAATAGACCATCCCTGTGCCGATCCTGTGGCTGGCAGGAAAGCAGTGGTCGTCGCCGTGGGGTGGCATTGATGGCAGGAACCATCTCCAAGACTTGGTCCAGGAGCATCAAGACACGGATTCATTAGCGAGTTCCACATGTGAACGTTTCAACGTTCTGAGACGTTGTTGTCAACCCTGTTGACTTTCAACTGCTCACACGTTGTCCTGTGGTCAGCTTGGGCATGTGCTTATTTACACATGCTGGTGTCGCCACTGACAGGAACCATTCAACTCACAGCATGCCAATATAGAAGAGTACAGTTCATAAACGCCCTCCGTGGAATCATTTCCTTCCATAAATAATCCAGCTCTCGCCAGGCGCAGGTCTCTCCTCGTTTATCTTCAACACACTATCCATGAGTGATCAATTCGATTTCGGGGTCAGGATGGGCATGATCATCATGTGCGTGGCATCTGTTGCATCAGCGCTTGCCGTCGGTGGTCTGCTGCTGTACATTGCGGTGACTTTTTTCCATTCAGCGCTGACCGCCAACTGATTTTTGCAGTATAGCGCAGTCACCATCAAGCGAAATGCCTCGCGGCGGTGGTCCACCGACACGCATATACACTACTATTTTCTCAATATGATGATATCTCACCTTATCTTATCTATTGGTCAGTACATACTACCACGTGGTTCCTGTTACTGACTGACGATGCACAGGTGAATTGCTCAACATCAAGTGGATTGTAGAGGCGGTGGGCCTTCAACGTGTTTGTAATGCCTCGCACTCATTTAACTGCTAGAGGCTGTACCCCAGTATCGTTTGCACCATTCAAGGTATTTCCGCTTTCACTTTACTATACGCTCGTCTTTCATGGCATGCAGGTTTCTTGCTTCAAGTGGGTGATGTTGGGGTTGGTCTCAGGTGCGTATCGAAGTCGAAAAGAAACCCCCTTCGCATGCTCACAGAATTGCCTTATCAGTACAATGGTACGCCACTTACATCAATTGTCGTGGTAATGAAATAGTGATTCGAGATAGGCCGTTGCTGTGCACGTGCTGCAAGTATTGGTGCTACAGAGGAGATCTCCACCAAAATTTGCTCTCCTTGTGCTGGCAATAATTTGGCTGCTCATCCTTCTTCTGGTGGTCGTGCCGCCCATTATGGTTCAACGCAACATTTATGGTTCTAGTGGCCATTGTAAGTGTTTATGGTGCAATTTTACCTTCGAACCTGAATTCACACCGCTTTTCAGGGTGCTCCGTCGACGGAAGTATCATGACGAAGGTTGGCCTCGTTTTCATATGGTTGTGGGTGTCTGGGGTAGTAAACATCATCTCATACCTGCTCCTTGCACTCGTTATCACGCGACTAGTCCTTGTGGATGGACACAGATTTCGGTGGAGGAGAAAGCAGGACACGAGAATAATTCCGTATGAAGTAGACATGTCTGCAGAAAATGTCAGAGCAATTCAAATGGTCTCGTAAGTGACTCCTAGTCTACGATTGATGGCTTCTGTACGAACCACTTTACAGTTACCCCATCTTGTACATTGTACAGGTGAGTGATCTTCAGTGTCTTTGATATGATTGTACTGAATGAGTGATAGGTGCTGACACCAGGATAGGTCGCTAGTGGTGTGCTCCCACATTCGTACTACGTCAGACACTGTCTATGACATCGGTCTCGCCAAGTCCAAGGCAGCATATACTCTCCACGTCACCACTCTATCCATAGACAACGGGTCCACCATTGCATCTCTCAACATCCCTGCAAGCCTTCCAATGGACATGCCCAGTTTCGTCCTCCTTGGCATGCCCATGACTGCAGGAATCATACAGGCACCTTGCTTGACGTGGCTGGAGTCGACCTTGATTAGAGCAGCGGTGCTCACCCCAGGACTAAAAGGCCAGGTCAGATTCTACCACGTGTCAACTACACACACATCCAAGACGTCGGACTCACTGGGGTGGGCCAGTTTATCGCATTCGCGTAGGACGGGTCTGTCTATGTGGGGTACGACGGAGAGTCTTTACGACCGATGTGGGAATTCACCGACGTGGTACGTGTCCAGTTGGTACGACAGTCTCTCCACCTTACAACCGACAGGAATGAGCAGACACTGTCACAGACGCACAGCGAGTCGCATTCTGCAGGGAGCCTTGTAGTAAGAATGGCGAACCTCGCATTGCAAGAGTGTATTGGTCGCACAGCTTATTCAGATAGAGGTAGACACGGACAGACACATGTTCAGTTGGACAGGCTATCCTACAGCTTGCCTCGAGCTCGGTTCATTTCCCGTGAGCCTCTCCCACTGCTCCACCGCTTGTCTATGTGCTTGTGCCAGTATTGAAAACTATGATGGTATAGCAAGCAACCCATCACACGCTCACCTCGCGTCTGTCTGAGGGCACAGGACAGGTAACGGGATACGCATTTCCATTCCCAACACACGGACACGGTGTAATTCCACGTAAGCGAACGTCTTTCTCTGTCATCGTTCGCCTTCTTACCCCACGTAAAGGTCACCTTTGACAGACGATCCAATGACACTCGCGAGACCATGCGATTTCTACTGACAGCGTCGATAGGTACCCTTCAGTTACGAAAACACGATGTTCTGCAGTAGTCCCGCGAGGAAGCACTCTCGACCATCCGCGTTGCTTCTTTCGTACATTTACCTCAACCAAGTGCATCTAGCAGCCCATCCACCATATTGAACAGCATATCCAGTACTCTCCCAACCTGCATCCAACGATTCTCCGAAAGTATTCCACAGAACTTGTACACGTACACCGTGAGCCCGATCACCCGCGAAGATGAGGGCGACTCCCCTTGCTCGAAAATCTGATATCACTTGAGATGTGTCTAAACTATCCATGCCATCAGCTGCCAAGGAACTTCGAGCGATACGTCCATCTTGATTTCTTCATCCACCGGTTCAACGCAACGCACTTCCCCGACCCGGGACCCTCGTCTGCTCTAGGTACGCCCTCTCCGCAGTCGTACCCATACACCGCATATATACGAGGGCCTTTGAACTCTAGCGAGCGGTGCGAAGGAGTTTCAGAGGTGCTCTTGACTCCGAGTATGGTACTGGCTTCAAGATATGTAACTACGTTCTGATCCATCAATACACCATCAAAATCCTCATAGTGTGGGAATTAGTTGCAGCTCTTCCCTTCCAATCAGAATCGTGATGGTTGGAGTCCTCACACCGCAATGCTTGAGGATTATCTGGGATCCTGTTCTGTGATAACCAATTCGAAAACTTTACTCAGTTCGCCAGTATCCTTGTCATGATTCTACTCGTGCATCACAATCAGTTTAGAGTCACATGTCACGAATCAGCATACACTTCGCAGACTTCTCACACAGCTGGTTATGATCAAAGTACACGAGTCCTACCCCTTTATCTGCTGTTTGAACCATCACGTACGTCCCAGCATGCCATTTCCGGGTGTCGGACGTTAATCCTCATCTTCAAGCATGTCCGCTGAGATGATAGGGTTGAGATCTACGTAGAAGCCTTCATTGCCAAACATTGTCTTCGTTGACGGTCTTGGGTTTTCATCGGTCGTCTTTGAGCAGCTGCTCCAGGACCGTACTGCAGTGTCCATTCATACCATTGATCACAGAGACGCGTACAGTAGTATTAGGATCAAAAACAATACCTCCGCCCTTCCGCATCACGCCGATCCAAGATTCCTTGAGACGTTGCCTAAGTTCTGCCAATTACGTTGGAATTGATGTTGCGCCGTCGGTGAATATTTGCTTCTCGAGGAGTTTGGCTCTTCCTTTAGTCTGGATCGCAGAACATGTGTCCCTACTGTAGAGGCACTGCGCATCGAGATTGGTTGGTAATCACATAAATATCACCATGTGTGTATACCATACTGGTGAATAATAAGTTTGCGAGCATCACAGCAAATTGGGCGGGGCCAGGGTTGCTTCCTGTGACGTAGTGCAGGTGATGAAGTCTGGTGGCGCTCGAAACGTTTTTCAGCTATTCATGCTATCAGCCGTCAAAGCTCGCTAATGTATTCAGACCTCGGGTGATAACTATTAGTTTAGTTTGTTCCTCCGGTTCGACGCAACGCACCAGGTTCCCCGATTCTAGCGGTAAGATCGACAAAACTCAGCCGTAGACAGCAGCCTCTCCCTCGCATATAAATTCGAGACGCTGGCTGCCCAACGTGCCCGACCGATCTGCGTGCGGTCTATGCCGCCAGAGAAGCCACTTATTCCACGTGCAAACGATTCCCACCTAGGGGAGGAGTAGCAAGTGATCCCTTTCCCATGGTTTCACGTTGCCTGGCCCATACTAACCCGCTACATCCGACGACTGAAACAGCACGAGATGAAGCACATCGAATGCGATGCAACGATCACACGTCTTACCTTGCACGACTCCGGCGTAACTAGTCATGAGAGCAAGGGCAAATTGGCCAACGTGTCTCGCAGGTAGAGAAATGCAAATCTCGCGCATCTGACCACATTCTGATCACATCAATATGGTGCGCTCGCCACGACAGTACCAGTCACATAGGGGAGATTCGCTCGCAAGCGATAGTCGCTGCATAGGGATCTCGGCATACTTCGCATTCGCACGAGATCCTCTGCGGCGACGACTATATTTACCTTGGACCCTGAAGAGTCAGTTGCCTCGGTGTGGAAGCAGCTATGAGAGAGGTTGCAATTCAGCCAGCTGACAATCGATGATTATTGAAGCCGACGTGTCTCCCGACATTACCTTAGCGCGGGCGACTTGACAGTCAGTCAAAACCCAAATTGTGAGACACGTACGTGTTACATCCAAGGTGTCCCCGGCGGCAGCGCCTAATTAGCAGGCCCAATATCTGACGCGCTCCAGGATATCAATGGGGTGAGCGACGCCAATTAGACGCCCCAGTTCTGATGTCCTGGTTCGAGTGGGGATAGTACCACTGGCAAAGCCATTCTGCGTATTCCGGAGGATATGCTTTGCTCTTTGTTCTCTGACTTACCCAATCATATTCATGTTTCTTTATAGGTGGCAGGCGCCACGGAACACGAGGAGGATGTGGAGTTGGAGGCTGCATGATACGTATTCGGAGATTCCGAGCGATGGATGAATCAAGCCTGATGATACCTTCGTAACAAGAGGGGTCAGGCAAAGGTGAATGTCCGTGCGACGTTGAATAAGGGAGCATGTGAAGTAGAGGCGAGAATCGGTGGAGAGGAAAGGTTGGAGATTGTGGAGTTGACGAACTGACGAGGTATCGACGTGGCTGTGTCGTTTCGTTTCGTTTCGAATCCTATCCTATCTTGTCCGACTCGGGTGTATATGGACAGCCCACGACTACAACTGGCCTTCGAGGAAAAGGGCGATAACGGAAACCCTACCAATGGTCGTTTGTTGTATGTACTTCGCAAGTCGACTGCGAAACGGTGGCTGACCAGAACAACCTTCGGAATCGGATGTCGGCCTCCCAGCTGACCTTATAAACGCAGTGCGTCAGTCGGGAGAACCCTGCCAACGTTTACAGACCACATATAATGATAGGCAGTGCAAACATGCATCGAAACTCAAATGACCACGTACCAAGTCTCGTTTGTGCAAGACGAGTGAGTGCCAAAAGGTGGCTGACCTGGAAAGCGCTCCCAAAACCAGATGGCAGCCTCCCAACTGCCCTTGAAACTTCAGCACGCCAGCCATCCACTCCTCCCGCCTGCCTTCTTCTACAACCATCATCATCAATATACTACGAACGTACTCCCCCATCCCCCCGACGGTTCTGCTCGTGTCAATGGACGCCAATAAACCTGACCTCATGTACTCCTGGAAAACGCGCAGGCCCTTCCGAGCAGGACAAGCTCGGGAGGTAGAGCTTGGAAGGCGGAGGGACAAGTGGGACAATCCTTGACCTAGCCGATACCTCCGGACTATCCCTACATAGGTACCCCCGTTAGTTGGATGCTCACATGCAAGTGCTCTGCCCGTCATCCGCATTTGCAAGCGACTGTCGGAGTTCGGAATAGCAAAGTTGATTGTAGGGATGTCAGCGGTGTTACCGATGCCGTTCCGCGGCTGAAAGGAGTACGTTGGGCCTAAGCAACGTGAGTTTGTCGTTATATCTGCCCAGACGATACCTGACTTCTGTGATACGCCATGCACCAACATCCTGCGTCGGTTATCTAGCGTTTCTCGTTGATGCGAAGTATTCGCAATTGCCTTGGTATCGTTAATGGGGACAACACCAAGTTAGCCCGCTTGCTCGACGCACATCCGCCCCTGGCAAGGCAACGTGAACGTGAACGATGATTTCCCCAATACGCCGTGAGTGCCATCCATGGACGACGGCTTCCAGTATACAAATGGCCATTTGCGATCGCTACAACTGATTCTTCGTGCGTCATTGTGGCGTCTTCCATTGTTGTTCTCATAATTTAGTCCATCAATAGGGCGCAAATTCAATATCTTCCGCTGCGCAAGCAACTGTACTGAGGGATCCATTGCGCGGACTTGCCGAGCGCGTGGGACACCAGAGGTGCGTTTGCGGTTTTTGTGTAGGTGATGGCACCAGGTAGGGAGCTGGTATCCGTGACTACGGCCCAGGCCACTACTCACAGATATTGGCCTAGTCGTCGTTGTCGTGACAGCTCTTCGTTCGAGTTCGAAGACAACGGAGTTAAAGGATATGACGGTGGCGCGGCGTCCTGTTGGTCCATTGTTCTTCGCGCGCCTGCCGTGCTTACCCATTCATGTTCAGAATCGTGGATGCGAGAGTGGGGTGAGGGATGGTACGTCCGTGTTTGCCGGTGACGGGATAAGGATGGAAGAGAAACGAATGTAAGTATGTGGGAGAGAAGGCTGGTCGGAGGGAATCACCTGGAGCTCCCCTCCGTTGACAAGGGCCCATGCATATCCTGGCAAACGAGCCATGTTTACTACGTGTTGTGAGGTTACTTTCTGGCAGGCGTGTCGCAACCTAAGTGACGCGGAAAATGGGCAGTGGACGTGGAGTGGTCATAACTGGGAAACGTTTTCGGTATTCGCGATCCTGTCTGTCTCAAAGTAGGTTGCGTCGAGACATTCGGATGAGTATAAGGCTGCAGACGGGGACGAAACACACGTACAAAAGGGGATCAGTGTGGCAGGTGTAGGGGTCTCAGCATCGACGACGTTGAATGTTGTCGATGCTTAGATTTTCTAGTGTCGGGCCGTGGATGCAAACGAGTCGTCAACTTCAAGACCTCACTCCGAATTGTCCCGTCATCGATCGTGGGAATCTCAGAACCGTTGAACTCGGCACTGCCACCGATGTTCTAATTTCTAAAGCTCAGACCTCCAACGAAGCTCCGTATCTGCAGAGTAACTTGGTTTCTATTCATCTCCAAAATCAATATCTGCAAGGGTTTGACGATGTGTACGACGCCAGTTTTCCGACTGGGACGAAGAAAGCGTCGTGAGTGAGACGTATGATGCGTGTTGGTAACATTTCAGGTTCTTTTGTCTGTCGAGTGTCTGGCTGATTTTATCGTCGGGATACCTTAGGGAATATACGCTTGTACGGTTGGAGTTTCGTTTACTTCGGTCGAATCATGAGACTAAACTCCTAGGTAGTACCCTGCTCCAACCTCCGATATCTATGGAAAAGTTCATCCACCGGTTGAACGCAGCGTACTTTCCGCATCCAGGAGGAAAGATCAACAAAACTCAGCGATGGAGTGTCCCGCAGAGTGCCGTGGGGTTGGACGGAATGAGACTCAGCGTTAGCTCGGGAATTTGTTACTTCGATATATTATTCACGACCGAAGAACGCGCCCACCGTGGCTGCCATGGTTATCTATCGAGTATCCAGGTTGTTTTCCACTTACATCGAGCGCGGATTCCAGTGTACACGAGAGATGTGCTCTCCGCAAACTGGTTAGTATCACCTTTCCCCAGCGCGCACAGCCAGTACGTAGTCTGTACGGGAAGTGTTTGAACAGAACCACCTCTGCTAGAGTGCTGTCTGGGTGTCATTCTCCTTAGCAAAATCTCGATGTGTCTTCCGCTGAAGTTGCCGATAGCATCAGTTTGGCTATGTCAGCGATGTCAGCCTCTCCTTCGCATATAAATTCACGACACTGACTGTCCAGCGGGCCCGCCACTCTTCAATTTCCACTTCTCTACGCTGAACGTCAGTAATCCTCATGTACAGCCTGGTAAACTGACTGCTCCGCGGCCAACCCACACCGCCAGAGAGACCGTGTATTCCATCTGCTCGCGAATCTCGTCACCTAGGGGAACGAGTAGTAAGTGATCCTTTCCCAATGATTTCACATTGCCTATCCCATACTAACTTGTTACATCCGACGACTGGAACAACACGAGATAAGGCGAACCGACGACGTATAGACGTGGATATTTCGTTTTATTTCGTTATGAATCCTATCCTACCTGCGATTCGGGAGCAGCTTACAACTAGCCTTCGAGGGCAAGGGTGACGACAGATAGCCCTACAAGTGTCTGACCGGAAGAGCGTCGGGAATTGGATGTTAGTGTCCCAGTCGTTCTTATAAATGCAGCACGCCAGTCGTCTCGCATGGAGAACCCTACCAACGTTAGTAGGATTTACATATATAATGATCGACAGTTCAGGCATACATTGAAACTTAGATGATCACGTACCAAGCCTCGTCCCCTCGCCCAGCCGGCAGCCAAAAGGCGGCAGACCCCGAAAGTACCCTCAGAAACTAGATGTCAGGCTCCTAACAGCCCTTATAAACTCAGCATGCCAGTCATCCGCTCCGCCCGTCCACCTTCCTCTTCGACCATTATCACCAACATACTTCGCACGCACCCCCCGTCCCCGCCTACATCACGATCAATAGACGATGTGGAGTACCAACGAACCTCATGCACCCTGTTCAAACGCACTGGCTCTTCCGAGCAGGACAAGCTCTGCAGATGGAGGGATCAGCAGAGGAATCTTTGGCTTGATGAAGACCTCGTCGCATAGTCACATGAACATACTGTGCTGATCTTCCGCATCTGCAACTTGAGTCACTACCACGGTGAGGATAAAGGGAGATGATCGATGATCGCTTACGTTGAAGTAATGGGAGAGAGCCCGGGGAAAGCTATGAGCTGAGGTGTCTAGTCTTCCCCGTCCGTCTGACTAAGCACTAAGTGGTTGTGTCCCCACCTCCTGTCTGGCCTCCCAACTACGTGTCGAATTACACCGCGTGCACGTGTTAGAAATGGAAGTGCACATCCTGTTACTTGTCTTGTACCTTCAGAGACACGCAGGATGAACGTCTGGTGAACTGCTTGCCATATCGTTGTAGCTTTCAACGCTGAGCAAAGGAACGGAGACAAGTGCGGATACACAGACGGTTTGCATGTAACCGATATACTCCCGCAATGCAAGCTTTGCCGGCCTTGTCAAAGCTGCCTGCGAAATGTGACTCGGTATGTGTCTGTGACGGTGCCTGTTCACCCCCGTCAGGCTGCGACGTATACTATACCAGCTGGATACGAACACCGTTGGTAAATTCCCACATCAGCTGTAAAGGTCGTCCGTTATACCTCAAAACACGGGCAGACCCGTTCTGTGTGAATGCCATAAACTATCCGGTCCCTGCGAGTCCGGTGTCTTACATATGCGTGGGGTTAACCCCCGGCAGAATCTGGACTGGGCCTTTCAGTTCAAGGATGAGCACCGCTGATCTAGTCGAGGATGACTCCAGTCACGTCAGACAAGATCCTGGTTTGATTTTTGCAGTTATAGGCGTGTCAAGGACGAAACCGGGTATATCTGTTGGAAGGTTGGCGGGGATGTTGGCAAATGCGATGGCAGATCTGTTGGCCATGGGCAGAGTTGTGACGAGGAGAGTGTATGCTGCCTTGGGCTTGGTGAGACCGATCGCACAGACGATATCTCGTGTCGTACGCATGTTGGAGTACACCGCGAATGACATATCCTGGTGTCAACGCGTTGTTGTGCAAAAAGGAATTTGGGAAAATCCATTATCTGGAGAGCTCCATATCTACACAACCTCGCCAGACTGGCTATCTATACAGCTGACTGTGTCGCTATCGGTGGGCGCATAGAGCGTCCTGCTCCCCTGGACAGAAGCCCGCCTTGTTGTGATCGTTGTGTACTGTACTTCGTGAGTTCGAGCGTAGGCAGGGTTGTGGAGGCGATGTTCGGGGAGAAGGTGGCCTGTAGATATGTCGAACATGCGCAGAGTGGACTGACCAGGTCCAGAGAGAGATGTGACACCTGCAAGCGGTGTCTAGTGCATAATGAGGCACTACACGACAGCGACGCACTTGAGCCGTCGTTGTGGATGCTCCTCCATGCCCGCAACGAGCCAGAACTTCCGCTGAACATTAGACTACCCAGTGCCCACCTAATGATCCGTCTGTAGCATCGAGTGCAGGGAAGATATCGCTGGCTATCGCCCTAAGGATGAGAGTTGGTCTTGAGCGGAACACAGACGGGCCTGGAACGCCAGTCGACCACGCTGACATCAGATTCGTGCATTGCCCAGCCCGCCTCCACCAATGACAGTGACGCGACGAGCAGCCTCGAGTGCAGCACTGAGTCAAAGCAAGAATTTTTTCAGCGCTTCAACCTCGAGGGCTTCTCATGCATTCCTACGAGGATACGAATCGATAGTTTGGGTGCCGTGCATTTTGACGGATGAGATGTGACGATAATGCGGTCGTATTACATCTTGCGTCTCCCATCTCGTTGGGCTGGTGTACGTGTTGACGAGCCTGCGATGCACACGAGATAAGGGTGCGACCCGGATGTGATTTATCATCGCGTGGACCTTGGTTTTGTGAGCAGATTCGTGTCCTGGTGAGAGGAAGTGAAGGGTTGAGGGTGTCACCGAGTGTGAGGACACGGTGGAGCCCAAAGATATAGCGGGACCGAGGATGGGGGAGAGAGCATTTGGTGCATACGGTGGACAATTCTCTAGGATAATGGTTGTGGATATTGCCGATGACATCGCGTGGTCTTGCTACAACACGTTTCTGCCAACCCTTGCCCTGCGCATGATGTCGTTGGAGTAGGGGGGACAGTGGGGGACTGGCAGGGAGCACAGCCGCTGAGTGCTGAGTCAGCATGGTCAGAGTCGGGTTGCACGCATGTACAGTGGTAGCTACATCGTCCCACAGCTTGCCTCGAGCTCAGCTCATTGCTTGTGAGGCTCTCTCCCACTGCTTCATCGTACAGACGAAAACCGGATCTTGTGGAGCTCGGGGATCATTACCGAGACCTGCACTGCCAAAGTCTTCATCGATATCTAGACCTTAGAACACGAGGTGACTGTGGCACGTGAACTGATCCATATCGAGATAGCTTGAGGAACGTGTAGGCTATATATTTGGCCCCGCGGGTAAGTATACGATGCATAGTTCTTCTCCCCTCTAAACTCCAGGACAAACCGTGTTAGCGGGCTTGTTAGCGATGATGATGGGTGCGTGCTAGCGGTCAGAGGGGCTGAGGCGGCGCTACTGACAGTTCGCTGTGGCGTTAAGATGCGGACCGGATCGACAATATTGTGTTCCGGAGTGATGTATGGGCAGTCGCCTTTGCGGGAAAAAGTCAGGTCGTAGGAGGATATGAGAATGGCGAAATGCGTCTATGGAAGATTGAAGATAGACGGCAACGTGGTTCAACCATGAAAGCGGATGGCTGGGTCTGTTCCATTGTCGTTTCCCAGGATGGCCGGTGGATCGTGACTGGAGACAACGGAAGGAATGCGATCCTTTGGAATGCCACCACTCATGAACGAGTGCGGGAGTTCACAGAACACAGCTACGGTGTACGTGGGGTCGATGTCTCGAGCGACGGTAGTAAACTTGCCACTGCGGACTTGAATAATGCCCGAATATTCAGCATCCCTTCCGGTAACCGACTCCATTGCCGCAAACACGATTGGGTTGTTGGTGTCAAGTTCTCTCCGGACGGCACTCGATTTGCTACCGCCTCGTGTGGACACGGTTTCCGTGTGTACGGCACCGATGATGGCAATATCTTGTTTGATTCAAGCGGAAGCGGTTATGTGAGGGATTCTTTGGTCGCTCCGTTGGCCTGGTCGCTTGATGGTCAGCAACTTTTCGTCGCGAACGAAGACAATATTATCTGTTTCGCCCTTTCCAAGTTTTTGTTTGCAAAATGGTCGATCCATGAAAACCAATCTCCAATATCTATAACATCCAATGGCAGATTCATTGCATGTGCCGCGGGTTCATCGGTTTCGCTATGGGATTGTGTGTCCCACAAGCAGATCGGTATCATTATCGCACACACCGCAAAGGTCGAATGCATTGCTCTCTCACCAAGCGGGCGGTACCTTGCATGTGGAAATGGCAAGAATATCACAATTCACGATCTACGAGATGTCCTTTCACATGAGTATATCATCCATAGCGTACGTGTACATCCACTCATGAAGCTCGTTTCGCTAACAATCATCATGCTAGTCTTGTGCCCTACATAACACTTTAATCTGTCGTCAACTCTGCACTTCTCAGCTTCCACTCGTAGAAATGGGTACCAAGACCTTCCAGTTATGGATGCAGAACGACCCGACGCAAGCCAAAATGCTACTCTCAGAGGAGATTGCGAGCACTTCTAGCCCTAGCCACTATGTTCTAGCAAACCGCGCGCTTATACGAACACGACTGAAACATTTGTCACCTGCAACAGAGGACGTCAAGGAGGTGAGTCCGCTTCCTCGCCACTGTATGTGTATGGTTGTTCACGCGCACCTCAAGTCTCTCCAGATTCAGCGATCACCCATTGGCCATATCGCGATGGCAGTTGCTCTGCTTGCCCAGGGCGATCGAGAGGGCGCACTATGCACGTTCGACCTTGCCTTTCATGATTGTGAGCCTCGAGATATCAGATTTCTCTTACTACTGAAGGTGCGTGAGGCGATCCAAATCGTTTTCACGATTGATTTACGTTTCAATCAGTATATTCTTGTGTTTGAATCCGGAAATCAAGAAGACGCGATACTGCGCACGGAGTACCTTGTCACGACAGTGAAGAGCGACAATGACGACGATGCCACATACCTTTACAGCCAGGCATGTGCCTTGCGTGATGCAGACATACAAATAACGCCTCTGATACAACCTGCAGGTCCTTGGGGCTATGTTCCTTAAGAAGGGAGACTATCGACGTGCGATATCATTGATTGAGCATGCAAAGCACCTAGCCCACATGGACAAACAATGTCCTCCGCTAGTGACGATCTCCTTCGTAGGTCTTTTTCTGTTACTACCTATTAACCTAACCCTCCATAAAGATATTTGGGTGGAGTTTCGATGGACTTGACGCGGTTGCTCGGCAGCGTCTATGTGAAACCCTTTATGCTGAAGAACGCATAGCTGAAGCCGTAGAGATCCTCCTCAACATCATCGGGACATCAGACAAAGAGATTCGAGAGGGAAAGGCAAATGTGGACTGGGTTGCAGGTATGTTTTTAATTCCTAGCCTGGTTGACATGCACATTCATGTCCGTCCCCAGACTTTACCAAAAAATGTGCTGCCACACTTGAGCATATTGGTGATGAAGCCTTCGGATCTGCACAACATGACGACGCAATAACGCAGTACTCTGCTGCGTTGTCCCTCAAGCCTCCAAGTCCTGCAGGTCTGTTTCTCAAGCGGAGCAGAACTCGTGCGGCAAAAGGATTGTGGGAGAATGCACTGCAAGATGGGAATGAGGTATGCACGGCATCCCTCTTATATGGGTCAGTTTCCTACAATTGCTGTATAGGCCGTGAAAGTGGACCCCTCCAATCCTTGGGGTCGCGAGGCTAAACACGCAGCACTTCATGGAGCACAACGGTATGATGAAGCGATTGATGCTTTCAAGTCTATGTTGCACGTAATCGAACAGTCCCATGATCCTGCAATCAGGGGTATGTACCTCCCGTGTGAATCTGATACCCACAAATGACAGTTTTACAGAACTGCGCAAGAACTACATTTCTCCATCCGAGATAATTGCAACTATCGATCCTGTCGTCCATCGGATCCTCAGAAACTGTCCCCTTGTTGTCATTGATGTCAATACTGGCTGCCTTTGTGATGGTCCTGAGCGGATGTGTCTCTTCAAGGCCCATCCATTGTTCAAAGAGCTCGTTTCGTCCATGACGAGAGGAGTGGAAAACGAGCCTGTCCTACGTGTGGTTTCAAGTTTTTTCGAATATGTCATGCTCTCGCACGTTTGGCGGGGCCTGAACGAGCCGTCATTCCAGGACATCAAAGTTGAATTCAAATCCGTATGGGACCTTCCGGACACGCCGCTGAATGAGAAGTTGCGCAATTTCTGCCAGGAAACGCGCAGACTTGGTTACCGTTGGGCGTGGTCAGATACATGTTGTATCGACAAGTCCATGGACGTCATCCTTAATCACTCTCTTATGTCTATGTACAAGTGGTATGCAGATTCGGCAGCCACACTCGTATTCCTTGCCGACGTAGCGCATCCGTCCAAGCCCAGGGACCTTGCACATAGTGTCTGGATGACACGAGCTTGGACTTTACAAGAGCTTCTCGCACCGAACGTCATCTTTTTCTACGACTCTGAATGGGAACCATACCTCGGCGATACTGACTCGAACCATAAGGAATCTCCGGAGATCATGGAAGAACTGGCAGACGCCATCAAGGTTTCCCACGAAACCATCGTTACATTCTCTCCAGACGATCTCGGGGTTCGCGAGAAACTCCGTCTTGCTTCGACGCGCAATGCAACAGTCGAGGAGGACATCGCATACTCTCTCATTGGCATATTCAAGTCTGAAATCAGGCCTCACTACGATGAAGGAGCAGACGCTCTCGGACATCTTCTGGAGGAGATTGTGGATCGCTCTGGCGAGGTCACTGTGCTTGCATGGTCAGGGAAGTCGTCGCCATACAACAGTTGCCTGCCGGCTTCCCTTCCCGTCTACAGCCAAACACCTTACAGCCCTCCATCGCTCGATACAGGAGAAATGGAAACACGCATCACAACGCTACGTGACAAGTTCCCCAGAGAAGAAGCGCGCAATACATATAATAAGATCAATTGTCTTCCCCCCGCCCGTTTCGCAGCCCGACGCCTGCACCTTCCTTGCATCGTCTTCTCTGTGAGAAGTATTGAGAAGCCACGTAGGGGCAATGAAAAGTTATACCGTGCCCGGGTATCGGGGCTTGGCCAAGTGGAGTTCATGACTGCAGGCAAGCTCTCGCTGAATGGGACACAAAAATTCGTCTTCGCGCATCCGTGGATCGATCATATCCGAGATCCTAATGGCAGGGTTACCTGGGCAGATGACTTGGAGTCCGATGACTCTGACTCGGATGAAGATGTGCCATCACACGCTGTCCCCACGGCTCAGGTTGACAACTATACCCGGGCACTGGAGATGATTGCTCGCCTCGGACAGCCGTTCAACGCGTTGCTTTTCGTACAGCGGTCGAATGGAACGTATAAGAGGGTCGCTGCTGAGAGGGAGATTGTTGTCTCGGGACTCGGAACCAACATTACCTCCAAGAACATTCGAGTGAAAGTACTAGAAATCCTTTGACGTATATGCGGGGGACTGCTAATTGTTACATCTGCTCTGTATTTCTTCCTTCAGCAGTCATTTTTGTGTTCGTATTTTCGTGCTGTTTTTTGTAGTCTTTTTTCATCGTCCTCATCGTACCCCTTCCAACGTCGTTACGTCTGTTGCATATATGCGCGGTCCTATCGGAGCCAACTAATAACTGACACGATATATTTACTTAATACGGGTTCCTCGGCAATGCCAACAATTCATTATTCAGATTCCTTTGGAGGATGTGCCCCATCCCGCGTCTTACCCAATCATATTCTCTAATGGGTGTCACGCGGCGCGGAATGTCAGGGAGATGGGGATTCGATGGTTGGATCGTACGTATTGAAGGAGGCTAGAGTCAATGAAGGGGACAGACGTTGAAGATGACGAACCGGCGAGGTATAAATGTGATTGACCTGTTTTATTTCGTTGTGATTCCTTTCCTACCTTCGATTCGATAGCAGGTTGCAAATGCCGTCGAGGACAAGGGTGACAATGAAAGGCCCTATCAATGGTTGTTTGTTATACATACATCTAAGCGCCTTCGGAATCGAATGTCGGCCTCCCAGTTCGCGAGTCGTCTTAGGAGAATCCTACCGACGTCTTGTAGACTATACGCATCAAAACTAGTAGTTCGAACATGCATTGAAGCTTAGATGATCACGTACCAAGTCCCGTCCATTCGGCAGGCCGGCAGCCAAAGGGTGGCTGACCAGGAGAGTACCCCCCGAAATCAGATGTCAGGATCCCAACTGCCCTTATAAATTCAGCACCCTAGTCGTTTACTCTGCCCGCTAGTCTTCCTCCTCAACAATCATCAGCCGTACTGTGCACCTACTCTCCCGCCCCCCTCTGCATCACGATTGATGGATGATGCCGAACCCCGACTCTTCTTGTCATGTCCACGAACCTCATGTACTCCTGGCAAACGCGTTGGCCCTTCCGAAGAAATTATCGATGGAGGGACGAGAGGAGCGGTCCTTGGCTTACTCGATGCCATCCTGCACAGGTATCCCAGTAAGTCGGATAGTCACATGGATATACTCGCCCGGGCGTACGCATTTGCAATCCACTGTCGTGGTACAGAATTTCGATGCGTCTCGGGATGGTGAAGTTGATTGTATGGGTGTCAGCAGTTCCATTGATGCCGTTCCGTTGCCGAACGCTGGGCCTACATGAGCCACGTGAGTTTGTCGTTATCTCACCCTGGACGACATCGCACCTAAATGATACGCCATATACCAACACTCTACTTCGATTCTCTAGCGCTTCTCCGTTGATGCGAACTGTGCGCTTTGGGCTTATTGTCGCCAGCGAGACACCAACAGGCTAGCGCACTCGCCGGGCATCCAAGGATTTTACACAGTGCCTGCCCCCCAAGGCAACGTGAACGGGATTGATGACGCGCCCGTATGCAATTAAGTGGATTCTCTCGGGACGACAGCCTCCATGATACGAACGACCACTTGTGATCACCGATGACTTACTCCTCGTGCGTCGTCGTGGTTGTTTCCATTCTTGCTCTCATCGTTAAGTCCATTGATAGGGTAGCAGTCCGTTTCCATCCTCCGCAGACACAGCTTTTTCGGGTATTTTTCGAGCTTGTAGGATTAGATTAGAGGTGCGTTTTGTAGTGCCTGTGTAGTTGGTGGTACTAGGCAGGGAACTGATAACTTCGACTACAGCGCAGGCCATTACTCACAAACATTGCGCCGGAGGCCGCCGTCGTGACAGCGCTTCATTCGATCGAGAAGACAGTGGAGGTGAGGGATATGACGGTAACACAAGGCCCACCATCCTTCTGTTTCATCGTTCTTTGTGCAGTTGTCGTTACTTATCCAATTATATTCATATTCGAGGACACGATGATGGAGTTATGGAGATAGGACGTCTGAATATGCTAGCAAAGGGATAAGGAACGAACGTAAGCATGACGGAAATCTTAATCTATTGATTTGGTAGAGTCGAATTAGCCTACATACCTACTCCGACAACGTTGCAGTCGTAGAGATATCTGCCGAGGCCAGTGCACGAGGACACCTTAGGTCCATGGATATATGGCTCGGATGGTGTCGCGGAAGATTTCGTGTGTAGTTCGGGCGGATGTTGGCAGTCCAACAGTTGGGTGATCCATCTGCCGCGGTCGCGGGCCGTCGTCGTTCGTCGCAGCTGTTTGAGCGCATCCCTAATTATCAATTTGGTCAACACCCGAGAAACCCGAAGGTCTGGATTAGTCATCTTTTCCCAGCTAATCAAACCTGGTTTCCACAGTGAATGTTATTACTAGAATAAGGCCGTTTTGCACGGCAGGCACCTTGTTTACCGCGCTCGCGCCCGTACGCAAAGCAACAGACAGGAACGTGCTGGACTGTCCGACGAAATCGAGCCCGTTCACCCACTTCGGAGTTGCGGAGCAGCGGAGTACAGTGCTGAGACCCAAAATATGATAATCGCGGCTGACCAAAGAAACGTTGCGAATTTCGGGGTGGAGTGACCTTGTAAACAAGTTGATTGTAAACAAGGTGACCCGTCTACAGTCTGCTTCAGGGTCTTAGTACGCGAATTTATGGCGTAAAATCTGCACATTTATTTTTCGCGGTCACATCGCCACATCACCGCGTCCGTTCAGCCGCGATACCTATATGCCGCGGCCTCACCACCGTGTCCAATCAGCCGCGTCACCCATACGTCGTGGCCTCACCGCCTCGCTGCCGCGCCCGTTCAGCCGCGCCCGTTATTTTTAACTGTACCACCGTGTAATTGTATTATTGTATATAGTACAACTTAGTTGTGCTTTGAAATTGGCTTATGAGCCAGGCCAAGATAACTTCGACTTACAGCTGTTTGCAAAATGATGCGGAAAATCTGTTTGACAATTAGTCTGTTCGGATATAGCCAGGATAGGACCCCGAAACCACCTCTATGGTAACATTGTGTAGTGGAAGCATGTACTTAGACTTCGTCCCTATGGCAGACTTGTTTTTCAACATGTCATCACTGTCACGATCCCCCACTCCTGTCACAGAAAAATTACATTCTTTCACAATTTCACTTTCTGTCTATGGACCCAAGAAAAAGGAGAAGGGAAAGACTGCACCAAAAGCGACCATGAAGACAAAAGAGCTTACTTTTGCTGTCAATGATACTAACTACCTCAATTTTCTATATCATGTACTGGACAAGCATGGTCAAGGACAATATAGGGTCTCAAGCAGTAAACATTTTCCCTTCAAGATTGTACCACCCAAAGTGTGGAGGTAAGTCGTTTCTCACTCTGCAAATCTGTGCTAACCATGCTTTACCTTAGCCAAGTCGTCAGTAATGCAATCGATGTCGATAACGAAGTCAACTACAAGGATATGGTCAAGAGGATTTGTAGTGTTCACCCTGGCCCAACAAAGATCTACGTCGATATGAAACATGTGGAGAAACTTCCAACTATCAATGGCTCTGGAGATGAGAGCAACTCATCTGGTGAGGATAGTGGAAAGCAGAAACATTCAGACCTTGATATGCGCCTTGCCCAGTGGTGCATGAAACTCCTGAGCTGGTACAAGATGCTTGCTTGATGGGGTTGTAGTCTGGTGAGTATGGCAGGAGATAGATCAACTTGCAGACTGTGAGACATCAGCAAAAGAAATATCAATTGATGGATAGTCACATACGATGCATATCTTCAACTAACTTGTGAATTTCCTCACTGTGGTGAATGCAGCAGTTGTCCATAATAATAGCACTGTGGGGGCCAGGATATGGGTTGGTAAAAGGCATCTGTTGGATAGATTAGCATGTACCAGCTTGAAGATGATTCACTTACAACGTGCTCCTTCAGAAATCACAGAAATCGCTCTCCATCAACAGTGCCCTCGATGATATTGTATGTGATGATGCCATCAAGCATGATGGCAGGGAGAATAGAGTAGTGCATTCCACATATGAAGTACCTCCTGACTTGGCAACATAGACCTCTGACTGTTTGCCCATGTGGGTGAGTGGAGGTACACTTGTCCTTGGAAGCTTTGTCAATGAAGATGAGTGTATTCAGGTCTGGCGCTTCTGCTGCGATGCAATTCATGTAGAGCATGCGTGACTCCTTGTTCCTCTCAGAGGCAGATGCAGAGACAACCTTCCAAGTGATGTGGAGGCCCTGAAGAGTTCAAGAAAGTGTAGATGGAGTGATATGAACTTGATGCTTGAGCCAGAGCTCCTCTTGAAGCTCGTCTAGGTAGATTGTGCTGTGATGTTGAACAACAGCAAGGATAAACATGATGTCTTCGAGGCTGAGGATGTGATGACGACTGATGGTATGGGAATAAGTGTTTGGGTTGTACATGACACCATACTTGGTGTGAAGTCTGAGAGTTTTGTAAACGAGTGTTTTCTTGATGCCTAGAATACTACAGATTTGCTTGATGCTATAGCCATTTTGGTGAAGGACAGGAATATGAGACTTGAGGTCGATGGATACCATGTGAGAGGGCATGCAGGCAGTATGTTCGATTCTTAGTGTACTATGGTAACAGACAGTAGCTACCCACTAAGGTACTTCTGGGGTCCTATCCCAGCTATATCTGAACAGTCTGATTGTCGAACAGATTTTCTGCATCATTTTGCAAACAGCTGTAAATGAAGTCTTGTCAATTTATATGATGTGCCACCACATTTCTACATACAATTACAAGAAGTAACAAATGATATGTGACGAGACCTGCATAGGTATAATGCTCTGGACAAGATGATCTCTAACACAGGTAATGAATCAGTGGGAGTGGGCGAGTGGTTTATTTACATGCATTATATTCGAAAACATATACCTCTTGCAATCTTTGCTGATGCAGCCAAACTGCAATTTCTTGAAGAGATTGATAGCATCGTCAAAACTGTATGGGCTCCTTCCATTGAGGAGGAGTTGCCCCATGCCATTCCACCACACTGCACCCCAGTCTTCTTCACACCCCTTATGATCCTGACAGTGAGTGGCATGTATGATAGGGGGGGCCTCCACAGTGACTGTGCAGATGTACTCATCCAGATGGGACCTGACATAAACATAGGCAACATAAGTTTCCATCCCCATTCAGTGATGGTGAATCTTCTTGATCTTCGTCAGAGGGAGGTTGCAGAGCCTCATAAAACCTCTTTTGAAGAGTGCCTGAATCTTGTACTCAATGCCCAGATAAATGAGTTCGGAAGGATGGAAGGAATATGATTTCTCGATGATGCAGGAAGTAATGAAGCTGAGTAGGCGTGCACTGCATTGGAACTTGTGGATAAACTCCAGGAGGTTCTTGAGGTCATCTGCAGAATATTTAGCAGGTGGGAAGGGACTTTAGTAGGTGAAATCAGTATGCACATCAGAGCAGAAACTCATAGACTTACCATGTGAACTTGATCTTGAGGAACAAGTCAAAAATTTCTGTAGTGAGGAATCTGTCCTTCACAATAATCAGGTTCTGATCAGCATGCCCCTCCCCATCCTTGTCTTCCAGCATGAATTTGCCAAGTGAAAAGAGGTCAGAAAAGAAGGCCAACTCATTCACCAAGATGTTGTGGTTGAGTTTATAAAGGAAATTTTCGACCAGGATAATGTATGTGCCATTTTCAAAATAAAAGTTGGGATGGCAGGTGGCCATCACAGTTGCTGGTGCTGAAGGACTAGTCATGATTAGGGCGAAACACTGGAAAGGTTAGGCCTAGAAAATTGTGCATCGAAATTAAGTCAGTTATTTGTTTGGCTGTATGTGGGTTTAGGTTTCATGCATCCAGACCTACATATGTACTCTGTTATCAATGGCGACTTTGCTCCCAAGTGCCATCCCTCAGCTACCTGTGAGCACCACACCATGGCCACCCAATCTCCTCACTGCTTTTGACTTGCTATCCAAAATTTACCAGCATGCTCTCCATGCCTGGACTCAAGAGGATGATGACTTGGTTTGCTTAGACTGCCACCTTGGCTTTCTGGAAGGCAATGCAGTGCATCTCCTTACTGCAATTGAAGAAGACCATCTAGGATCTGATCTGTCTGACTGGCTCTCACTGGCAGCTGAGTCAATTGCATGTGGTGCTTACATGTTATCAAGACAGCATGAGGACTTGGTGAGTATGTCTGAATAAATGGCTGCTGGCACTAACAGTCTGTCATGCCAACTCATGATTAGTGTTGATGACACTGTAGAGATCCTAGAGCCTGTGATGGAAATTCACACCAGCTTATGAGGATGACCAAGGAAAGTCATTGACATCAGCATTCTTGAGGAGGCTGTTTCAACTTCAAGGCAAATCCACACCACTGAGCTTGCATGCATCCTTGGAATCCACAGAAACACCTTACATTCTTACATGAAGTCTCATGGTGTCAAATGAAGATACACAAAGATCACAGATATGGAGCTCAATAAGCTTGTTACCACATTCAAGAAGAGATGAACTGAGTCTGGCCTTTGCTATATCATGGGGTTTATGTGAGCACAGGGGATCTGTGTGCAACATCACCACATAATTCAGTCACTTTGAAGGATTGATCGACTAGATCAAGCTTTACAAGACTGCTGCATGAAAACAAGATGCAAGTATCACATCAAAAGGCCAAATGCACTGTGGCACATCAATGGCCACCACAAGCTGATCTGGTGGGGAATTGTCATCCATGGGTTTATTGATGGCTTTTGCTGCACAGTACATCTATCTCCTTCTCAAGTTTGTCACATTTGTTGATTCACTCATAGGTTACCACAATTCATGCTAGTGACAACAACTGGTCATCAACCATCCTTCACTTATTCAAACACACTACTCAACAATATGGAATACCTTCTCATGTATGTGGAGACTGCAGTGGTGAGAACATCGACATTGCAACATACATGATCATGAAGAACAGCCACCACCATGGCTCGTTTATCTGGGGAATGTGAGTTTTACATTATTTTTGTATTCATTGTTGCTGATCATATGGATAGTTCAACTCAGAATTGTCACATCGAGCATTTATGGGTCAAAGTTGGATCCCAATTTGCCAGATGCTGGTGTGCTTTTTTTGCACAGCTTGAATGTGTTCATATGCTCGATATTGAAAACCCATTGCATATCTGGTTACTCCACACACTGTTCCTCAATGATATCAATCATGACTACCAGGTGTTTTGGGAGGAGTGGAACTGCCACCCAATGGATGGTGCAGGTACTAACAACAAGAGTCCATTGGTAAATCTCAAATTTTATTAGTTTATACTCTTCATCTCATGAAATAAAGGATATGTGTCTGCTTGGTCAGATTCAATTTGGAATCTACTGAGAGCATGAAGATTGCAAAGGATGTAACCTTGCCAATGATGAAGTAATGGAGATGGCTGATGCGATTGCACACCAACAGCAAGTTCACATTAAACATGAGGCTGTGCATGTACTGTCTCTTCGGAACTTTCAGAATGATGAAGAAGAACTAACCTTCTTCAGGGGTCTTCAACAGGTAGTCATGCAGGACATCATGCCAGAAAATTTCGGGTTGACAGCAATGGAGTGGGACTCTGACATGTACTCATTGATTGAGACTATACACATTGGGCACTGTGCATGAAAAGAGGTAGATATTTCATTGGCTGATGCAATTTGGTATTCTTGGGCATGCCTATGGTGCCAGGCATTGTCTATGTTATCATTCTACTTAATGAGCCATGGCTCATGATTTGTATAAATGCATCTGAATTTTACTGCAGTAACACCAACCACATTCACCCCATCCTCACTTAGCATGTCAAGTGCATTGACCTGGATGAACCTCTGCCAGGGTGGAGGTGGTCAATGTGATTGCAAGCACTTTAGACCTAAGGCAGATGACCCTGCTCATTGCTGGGAATGTTCACATGGGTTCAGTAAGCACCTGCACACTGACAATTCCCCAGACATCAATACCCCAGCTGTCAATGCCCCAGCCATCACCCAATTGCAGCCTGCTGTATGTGGCTCATCAAATGTGGCAAAAATATTCGAAGGACTTACTTCAAGATGTCTCACTGGCACTTCTCAACTGAATCCCCACCAGGAGGTGCTGGCAACTAAATCTTCAAAGCTGAAGCTGCTTTCAATATTACAGATGACCATTTCTAACAAATGCAAGGTAGGCATTTGTAGTGCCTTGGGACCGCTTGGGCTGACATTTTTATTCCAGCCTTCTCAACAGCAAACCAGTGGTCAGATGTTCCATGTCAGCTCTGTCACAATCATTACATGTGGAATTGTTGTATTTTTTCTTTTTAAATTTTTATTGCACAGACTCTTACTTTGCAAATCGAAATACAGGCAAATGGCCAGTTAATGAAGGACCTGATCTTGCCACAGATGACTTCAGAGAAGAGACTGTTCATCCAACACTTGGAAAACCATGGATGCCATCTCCAACAAACAACTGAAGTTAACTCTTCTTGGTCACATGAAGATGTTACAGCCCAGCTGCATTCATGGTTCCCAAATGTTTTTCAATATTTTGACTCTCATCGCGAGAAAGCCAATATGAATATGACGTCCCAAACCCAACCTGACTGGCAGCTTCTTGTTCCCGCTAATGGCAGACTCGAACTCTCTACAGCTGTTCGACTGAATGGTATTGTTCTCTCCCATTTCAAGGGATGTCAGAAGTCTGGAATTGCTGATAGTAACCTGTGGTTTGGTATGTGGCTAAAATATTACAACTTCAGCCATCCTTATTTTTTGGACAGTCACTCGAAATCCTGTCCCCAATCATATTTTCGACAAGTGGAAGGTTGGATTGGATGTAGTGGGAACTGATGAAGAGGCTACGAGTGAGAGTGACAATGAGGTGGTTGAGCTATTGAGTTCCATTGCTGACCTCGAAATCACTATGGCAACTGGGACTGGTAAGTTAAGTACTGTTGTTTTTACCATCAAAATCAACTTTTTTTTTTTTCTAGGTAAGAGGTCGTGGGTCATGTTCTATTAACATCCTATCCTCCCTGAGGCTATGGACTCCAATAGGTGGTCCTTCTGCAAGAAATGCAAAGGCTGTATGTTTGTATTTAGTTGACTTACAGTAACATACTAATCACACAATATCTGCACTAAGTAAATGCCAATGCCCAACCTGCTTGGCCTCGTCAGCCTGGGGGGTCCATTTCCAGCCCTGTTGAAGTGAAAGATTTCTTATCCAACAGTGATGACAATGCCCCATCTCTGCCAAATCCATGGTTCATGAAATTTGAACAGACAACAATGGTGAAGGATGGAGATATTTCTGACATTGATTTGTGATACTTCCATTTTTTTCACTCACTACTTGTCACTCCCTAACGTCATAGTACTGTCTGAATCTGATTTGTTTTGCTGGCAGTTGTGCTGGCCTATATTGAGAATATCTACACAAGTGTGACTAATAGTGAAGTTGTAGCACACTGCTCTCAGCCCTTATAGTCTTGTAATATTGAACTACCAGCCACACATACCAAGCTGCCCCCCTTGCTCTGTCGCAAGCAAGGGTGGCAAGGAATGTTCCAAGCATGTTCACATGCACCAGCACCATTTGTGAAGAAGGTATGTGGCTTTTGCACTTGCAATACCATGATTTTTTTATGCTTGAGCAGCCAAAGAAGAACTTGGTCAATCTATGACAGACAATATATCTCTTTGACACTTTTATTGGTTTATTTGATCTCCCTGGTCCACAGAACATGTTGGGCAGATCCAACTCACTGGACCAATTCTGCATTAACTTCACCAATGAATGACTGCACCATTTCATTCAACAATGGCTGTTTGAGTCCCATGTCGATGAATACCAATCAGAAGGCATATCTAAATATGTCCCCCTCATTTCTTACTTCGACAACTCCAAATGCATCTGACTCCTCTGGAACAAACCTGGTGGCCTTATTCACATCATGGATGACCAAGCTCACCAATCCCACAAAAAGATGGATCACACCATGGCTGACACCTTCGCCAAGCAATGGGGCAACCATTCTTCCTTTAAACTAGGAGGTGGGTCTGGTTTCCTGACATTCACCATTTGCCATTTCAATGACCTGGTGACATATTCCTCAGAGGCATTTTTAGAGTGCAACCTCGATGCTCTTAACCCCAATTTTGTGGCTCTTCTTTGTGGCACAGTGGCCAGCGCTGGCCTTGGGGATGGTGCTGAAGGGGTGGAGTCCCTCAATCCCTTCATCAAAGGTTTCTTCTCAGGGAAAGCCACTGCCACACAGGCCCATCCCAAGAGTGAGGACATGATTGTTGCAGCCCAACAACCTGTCAAACCCATGCATGCTCCTTCCACCTTCCAGAAAAATACTGTTCACCATATGCCATGTGACAATGCTGCCACTGGCACGACTCCTCCCATTGTCAAAGAAGAACATGAGGGCAAGGATGTCACTACTTCCCAGAACACAGGTACTCTGCATTGCAGGTGAATTCTGCACTGCCCTCAATACACTCTTCAATATGTTGGGAGACACACACAATTGGTTCATGTTCTGTATCAACCTGAATGACTCCCAACTCCCAAACCAGCTGGAAGGACAGTTGGTCAAGGGTCAGGTATGCAGCTCAGGGTTGGTCGAGGTTGCAAAGAGGAATGCATGCATGTTTGAGGTTGGTATGACTCTGGATGAATTTTGTCAGAGGTACAGGGATCTGATGACCAAGGTACAGCCCAATATTTCACCACTCCTGATACCCCAGAGGTGTCTCCATCTTACTCTACACTATCCACTTCTCTGGCTTCCTCTGCACCCCCATCCCTGTTCTGGTGAGCACCCATCAATGTGGTCCCTATCATGGAAGATGTCAAGTGCACTAACAATGTCCAGGTAGTCAGCTGCTGCGACTGGTAATTGCAGCTCATCATCCCTGGCAAGGGCTGTGGAGGCAAGGAGGTCGAGGGCTGCATGGTGTGCACCATCAGAGTAGGTGGAGAAGGCAGTGTGTATGTTGGTAGATTCAGGAGCATTGGGGGTGTCGGCCTTGGGGACAGGGACCCTCTTGACTGAGAAGGATGCATGTGGATGCGGTCTGAGAACATGGGCAAGAGGGGGCGATGACACATGAGGCTGTGAGATGGGGGATGAGGTGTATGAGTCAGGAAAGCCAGTGGTGGTCGTTGGAGGTGAGGGTACCCTCCACATTGGTGGAAGTTCCAATTGGAAGGCAACCAGTGACACAACCTGAGTCACCTCGAATGGGCTGAGACATTGGGGTGCAATCTTGTCACACTGGTTTTTGATATGGAGGTGCATGGTATCCAGGAGAACTTGATCTCTGACCTTGGGCACAACATAAGACCCTTTTGAGTGTGCATGCATCAGATCCTGTGCTTTCCTGTGAGCAAGAATGGTGACATCTCTGTTTGAGGCCAATTGTTCCAGCCTTTCATCAACTGAGGGCACTGCGGTGAGCCACACTTCTGGATAGGGGGATGGGTCATAGCCCAAGAGCAGTGAAAAAGGTGTCATTTGATGGACAGAATGGATCCAGGAGTTGTGTGCAAATTCAGCAGATGGCAGTTTGGCAGCCCACCAGTTAGGTGCTTCAGCACAGTACAACCAGAGGTATCCTTCCACCTCTTGGTTAATGCATTCACTTTCTCCATTAGTTTGAGGGTGGTAACCCATTGAGAGTTTTGGTTTCACCCCTATCACTTTGTATAGTTCCTTTGTAAATGAGGAAGTGAACTGTGGTCCTTGATCAGAGATCACTGATTCAGGTATGCCAAAATGGGAATAGATGAATTGATGGAAAAGTCAGGCAATCCCAATGGAGTCAATAGTTTTGTGACATGGGACAAACAGGGTGGCTTTTGTAAGACCCTGATTGACAACTGTGAGAATGGAGTTGTATTTTTGTTCTCCCAAGACTGGGAGATTGGTGATGAGATCCATAGAGATTTGTTGGAATGGAAATGCAGTTTTGGGTGTGTCATGAGGGACTGATGGGTGGTGTAGGCAGGTGAGTCACCACTTTGGTGGTCTGACACATAGGGCAACCTGCCACGTAAGCTTGTATATCCTTTCCCATACATTCCCACCAGACTTCCTTTTGCATCCTTGTGAACATTGCCTTCTGTCCAGGGTGTCCTGCTGACCCGTGATTGTGATATGAGCACATGCAATGATAGTGATTTTCTGGGGGGATGTGCAACTGAGTAGTTCCAAACTGTTTTGTTCCATCTTCTGTGATGGTGACATTATCCTTGGGTTCTGGTCCTGTTGAATCCTTTGGCATATTGTTCTTGATGCATTTGTACAGGTCCATGGAAATAGCATAAACCCCCTGTGCTCCTTTTACTGGTTTCCTCAGAGGGTGAGCATTGGGTAGCTGTTCCTTCTTTGTCATTTCCTCAGATGGGTGGGAATACAGCTTCAGGGTTACTCTTTCAACACTGTATCCATGCAGGACAACGTCCTATTTGCATGAGGCAGTTAATTTTTAAGTGTTTTTGTATTTTTGTAATAGAAAATGAGGGTGAAACAAGGCAAATTTGGGGACCCACCCCCTCCAAAAGCCAAAGATCCAGGGGAAGGACTGTGGCAACTGGGGTGGGCTCCTTGGTGGTGCCTTTGCGAGAAAGAGTGTCAGCTGGGACCTGCAGGCAACCAGCCTGCCAGGAAAACTGGATAGGGTAAGACTGAATAGTGGTGGCCCAGCAGGCCTGATGGGGGTGAGCTGTTGAGGCTCACAGTAGTATTCCAGGTTTTTGTGGTCAGTAAAGACCACCATGGGTTCAATGGGGGAGAGGAGGTAGGGGTGGAAAGCCTTCAGAGTGCAGATGATGGCTAACATTTCCAAATTGTAGACTTGGTAGCACTGTTTGGCACCTACTAAGGACTGTGAGAGGTATGAACATGGATGCCACTCATTGTCAGCCCCTTTCTGGGTGAGAATGGCCCTGGTACCAAGCTTCGAAGCATCCATGAAGAGAGTGAAGGGCTTCGAGAAGTCAGGAATGGTGAGGACTGGAGAGGAGCATAACAAAGACTTTAATTTTTTGAACACAGCATCACATTCCAGAGTCCACTGGTAGGAAACCCCTTTCTTGGTAAGGTTGTGAAGGGGGTGTGTGATGCTTGAAAAGGAAGGGATGAATTTCTGGTAGAAGTTACAGAATCCAAGGAATCATCAAAGTCCTTTAAGATTGTCAGGGGCTTCCCAAGTACTAATGGCATCGGTCTTCATCAGTGAAGTCTCCATACACCCTTTTCCAATAATCATTCTGAGGAATTTGATTTCTTTGGCCTCGAAGCAACACTTGCTGATCTTGAGGCACAGCCCTTCTTTTTCACAGATCTTCAGGAACTCACAAACCTGTTCCCAAAGTTCTTCCCTTGTCTTTGCATGGATAGCAACATCATCCATGTATCCTACCTGCTTTCTGCATTGAGACTCAAAGGTTTTATCCATATACCTTTGGAAAGAAGGAGGTGAGTTGCATTGTCCAAAGAACATTACCGTGGGCTCAAACAGCCCTCTTGGTGTGATAAATGCTCTCTTCCACTCATCTCCTTCTTTGACCCTGAGGTTGGTAAAACCCCATCAAATGTCAAACTTGGCATAATAGTTTGATTTGACCAACTCATCAAACAGAGCCTGCACATTGGGCAATGGGTTTGTGTCCAGGATGGTAAACAAATTGAGATAGCAGTAGTCTTGTATGAGCCACTTCTTTCCATCCTTCTTCACTACAATGAACACTGGTGCCACCTGGGGTGAGGTCAATGGTTGAATCTTCTTGTATTTGAGGTTCTCTTCCAGGAACTCATCTAAAACTTTAAGTTCATCAGGAGACATGGGGTATACTGCTGCTTTCTTTGGTTTGAAGTCTTCACAGAGTCTAATTTTGTGATCTAATCCTGGCTGATGAACCAGGAGTGGTATGTCATTTTCTGCAAACACCCTGGCAAACTCCTTGTATATTTCCAGAAGCTTAACTTCCTCTTTGTTTGCTGCCAAGGCAGCCTCGAGTTCTGTGGAAAGAGTCGTTTTGTTAATTTTTACTCCAGGGGTTTCACCTGAAACTGGTTTTACCACTTCTGAGGGAGGATCAGAAGATTCCTTTGTACAACCCAAATCCATAGGATTTAATGATACTGTAAGCGTTCGCTTACCTTACCACTTACCGCTTGCCACTCACACACCATATGCACCGTGCATGCTATCGCTTCACATCGTCACATCTCCTATTCCCTCGATTGTGCCCTCATCTGGGCATGCAGATCCCTCCTGCTGTGTTGTACTGTTTGGACCCTGGGGGTATATATACTGGTGCTGCATGTATGTGCAGGTCGTCTCTTCTTTTTCTCTCTTTCCTCTCACTTGCTCTGTTGAGCATCTTGTATCAGCATATACGCTTGATTGTCTAATCCCCACACACCTGTCCACATTCTATCATTGTTGTGAGCCGTTCTGAGTGTACTCACCCTGCAGTGGTGAGTTCCACTTTTTTTGAACATGCCATAGCGCGTGTCGACACCTGCTAGAGGTGTCAAACTGCCGTCCCATCGCGTTCCCTCCATCCCCATACCCTTGACTACCCGTAGTCGAGGGAATAACCCTCCTGCCTGCGACATCGTTGTCATTGCCATTGTCCTCGTCTTCGTCTTCACTGTCTATGTCACATGCTGCCTCTACTCCCCTGCCATCTATGCCACTGCCCATGGCCCTGCCCAGCACCGCTCTGTCTCCGCCTATCTCCCCTGCACACATCCCATTACCAGCATCCCTTCCACCATCTCCAACTTCCATGGATAGCTCATCATCAGTCTGACAGCTTCACAGTGGTTCTCCCTGTCTTCGCAATGTCCTCAACACAGTCTCAGGTAGTGTGATGTGAAAATACCACTCCTGGAAAAACCCCTCCCTTCTTAACAGTGGGTGACATCACCCTGGAAGGGTTGCGAGAATTACTTTTGGCTAAAAAGTGTAGCAGAGGATGTTCAGGTTGCCAAAGTTGTGGGTCACCTTCTGGATCCTCATGTGCAGGACTGGATTAGTAACAATGGCAGTTGACTCACTGCCCTCTCCTTCTCGGAGTTTATGGATGAAGTCCGTATGTACTGGCTTCCCAGTGACTGGGCAGAAGCTATCCAGCAGAAAATGCTCTCGTCAACACAGGGTAACAAAGCCTTCCACTTGTGGGCTGTTGAGGTGGAGAGTCTGAATGTTCTGTTATGGGGTAGTGAGTTCC